GTGGGGGAGTCACGAGCTGGGGGAGAACTGAGGCCTAGGGAACCCCTGAGCCCAGGACTACCGTCCCAGAGGCCTGCTGGCAGCTCTGGGTCTGTGCAGGCTTTGGGGGCAAAGTCCATCCCTCCTCTGTCTGCCCCAGGGGAGAGAGCCCCGCACCCACATCCCCCAACCTTGACTCCAGCTCAGAGCACCAGACACTGGACTGGGACACCCAGGGCCGCAGATGGGGGCAATGAGCTGAGATCCAGGGCTCCAGTCAAGGTGCGGCCGGGAGGAAGGGGCCTTTCCAAGCCTTTGGGGAGGTGGGTGCGGTGGGCAGGGCCCTGTATTGAAGGGGTTCATTGCAAGTGTGCTTCATGTCCCACCACTGCCAAGCTGTGCCACCTCAGTCTAGTGACTCAACTTGACCTAGCTCTGAGCCTGTTTCTGCTTTGAAAAGTGGGTTGTTGGGTGTATGAAATGAGATGGTGCTTGTGAAGTGAGTAGTGTAGTGCCTGGCACAGAGTAGGCCCTAAAAAATAGTTGTTATTAATAATAATATCATTTTCCGGATTTGGACCAATGCAGGGAGTGCAGTCCAGTGAGAGTGGCAGAGTTCGACCCAGCCCCCTGGGGGTCGCCAGGTGGTGGGCGGGGCCAGCCTGAGGCCTGACTCCTGCCCACCTCCCCCCTGGCCACACTCCCTGGGCAGGGGCAGTGGGTTTGTGATGAATCGCAGGCCCTGAGGCTCTCCGGGGGACGGGGGATGGTGGTAGGGCCCAGGGGGTCTTCTACTTGAACTTCTAACATTCTCTACAGTTGAGGTCACACACACAATCACAGAAGGACAGCCACCAAGAAAACAACGCAGCCTGGTCAGCTGGGGTCCCTCTGCTAGACCACGCCACCCTGAGTGACCACGAGAGGAAACCCCCCACACTGCGCTGTTGGCTGCTGTCGCTGAGCGCCGAGCCAGCGTGCAGGCAGCCCTGCTATCTGCTGTTAGAACAGACACAGCTGTGCTGACTCTGATTTACCACATCTCCATTGCTTCACATACCAGAGGTGCCTTGATGTCTCATGGGACTGAAGACAGCTAACAGGCCTTCTGATGCTTACACTCCTTCTGCAGGGTCCCCACTACCATGCGGTGTCCCCACACCACCCATGGTCACCTCCAGTCTCAGGCAGCCCTTCCTTCTTGAAGCAGCCTGTGCCGCCTCGCAATAGTTATTAAGCATTCAGATTCTGGAGTCGGACTCCCTGAGTTTGCATCTGGGCTCCCCACTCACTGTCTTTGTGACCTTGGGCAAGTCTCTTAACCTCTCTGAGCCTTGGCTACCTCAGCGGGGCATAGAATAGTACCTGCCTCCTGGGCTGCGGGGATTCGGTGAGATGACCTGTGTAATGCTGGGAACCATGCCTGGTGCATAGTAAGCGCTCAGCAAGCATTAGCCATGTCTTGCCCCGGAGGGGCTTACCCCCTGCAACACTGACCCATCGGCCTTGGTCCTGCTCCCGAATCAGGCACAGTGCAGCCTGGGGTGGGCGCAAAGTTCAGTGCTCAGTGCCCCCCTCCCTTCCCCCTGGCCAGAGGTGAGGAGGGCAGTGAGTCACGAAGGACACCTCAGCTGCAGTTTGCCCTCCTGGACTTAATCTGAGCACCAGGTGCCATCAACGTGACAGGGTCAGAGATTGCCTGTCTTGCTGGCCTGGTGTACACACGCTGGGACTGTCAGCGCCTATTTGAGCATATTTGAGAGCGACTGCCAGGATGTGTGCAGAGTCACACAAGTGTGCAGATATCTCAGCTGTCTGTGGGCGCAAAGCTAAGGTCTGGAGCCACAGGCCTGGCGCGGGCCTGTGTGCAGCCCCGGGGACGGTGCGCTGCCTCCCCACCTGTCGTGGTGGGACACCATTAGTGAATGCCTGTATTTCCCAAAGACTCTGGGCATGCTTTGTACCAATATGTGGATGGGTTTGTGCTGGGGGCCGGGGGAGCATGAGAGCCCCTGTGCCCCATCCTAAAGAGTTCAAGCTGCTGATGGAAAGAGCAGACTCTGCTCCAGCTGGGCCTCTGGTTCTCTTTGGGCACAAGTGCCAGCACCTACAGAAGGACTTGGGCTTGCAGGTCAGGGGACGGCCACCTTGGTGGGCACAAAGGGCCTGTGTGGTGCTGAGTGAGTTGCATCCCTCTCTGAGCCTCAGTGTCCTTGTCTGCACAACAGACAGACCGAATGGTTGGCGAGGCGATGAGGCCGACAGTCCAGCATTACCTGCAGCCACCCTCCTGTCCACCCATGGGGATCAAACCAGGGGTCAGCCCAGAGATCGGAGTCAGGAGGGGACAGCTCAGGCCCAGGCAGGGACAGGCCCAGCCAAGGACAGGCAAGGCATATGGACCTGTGTCCCACATATGCTCCACACTGGCCCTCCTCCCAGGGCAGAACTAAAGGGGAGTAGCTCCTGTTGTAATAGGAAGGATCTGAGTGAGATTCTAGGAGGAACTTCCAGTGTGGAGAGGCATGGTGGACCAGGGCCTGTGGTTGGCAGGGCTGAATCAGGGCTGCTCAGTCCAGCCTAGAGGCAGGGGTGTGGATCACAGAGGCTCATGTAGTAAGCCACTCTCAGACACAAGTGCAAGCAGAGGGAGTGGGCCCAATCCCAGGGGACCCATTTTGGCCCCACTTAGTCAAGCCTTTTCCCACTCCTCCCCACCACCACTAGTTACTCCCTAGAGTCAGTCTGTGGGCTGAGCCCAGAGCAGTCTCCTCATTCCAGGGGAGCCAGAGGAGGAGGGAGGGAGAGCTCAGGCTGGCCCCCGAGACAGCCCCTACCCAGACCCAGGCTGGAGCTGCTAGAAGGGGGACAGGCGCTCACTGGTGCCGAGCTCTTGACAGAGGTGAGGTCCCAGGCCTCACAGCGTGCATGACCTAGCTGCACGAGTCCGCACGCTCGGGTTCTCTACCCAGCTCAGCACCGCCCTGCTGGGTCTCTGCCACGTCTCCTGACCTCCCTGGCCTCACTGGGCCCATTGCTGTGCAGGAGGGAGAGCACAGCCTCATCCAGACCACTACATGGGTGGAGAGGGGCCTGGAGGAACCGGGCTAAGGGGTCTAGCCAGCCCATTCTAGCACGCCCGGGGCCCAAGGACCTTGTACCCCAGCCCAGCCTGGAATCTGGGTTCCCACTGTGGCCCTCACCTCGGGGCTGAGGAACAGGCCAGAACAAAAGAAGGAAGTGGGTACAGGTGGCCCTCTACCTTCTCCAATACCCAAATCCTTCAGTGACCTGCTAATCATCTTCCTTCCTTCCCCACCCCATCCCCAAAGCTGTGCTTTAAAGACATCTGAAACTGATTTGCTCTGAGGTATCAATCTGATAAATCTCCAAGGGTCTCATCTCTCCAAGCTGTTTGGGACCAGCATGGGTGTTTGAGCCTGGATTCTGGTTCCCAGCTCTGCCACAGATGGGCTGTGTGCACTTGGGTATGTCTCTACCCCTATGAGCCTTAGGTTTCTTACCTATAAAATGGGGTTAATAACGTCTCCTTCACAGCAATCTGAATAATTGCATTTTAAAAGAAAACAAGATCTAAGTCCAAGGAATGAGTCTCTAATAGAGGAATTTCGAGTCTCAGCTGTGGATAAAGAATTCTGAGGGTAGGGCCAGGCCACTTTCTCAGGCCTCTGATTTCACACTGTGGGGTTAGTTACTTCTTCCTGAGAGGATGGCTGCCTGCCAAAAATCCAGTTTCTACATTGGAAGCTCCTCTTGCCTTCAGACTATGCTGTCTGGGGAAGGGCAAGGTGTCTGGGAGGCAGGGAGAGAGATTTATCAAGGCCCCTCCATGGGCCAGCTGCTTTGTACATATCTTATTTACTTTTGCCGTAGCTCTGGCATATCACCATTCTATCTCTATTTTACAGAGGACAAAATTGAGGCTCTGAGAGAGATCTCTGGACCTGGGTCTACGAGTAAGTGCCAAAGGCATCATTTAAACCTGGGATTTCTTGGCTCCGAAGTCTTAGCATCCAGAGACAAAGTCCCCTGGTCCTGCCATCCAGGCTCCGTTTCCCAGCGTCGGCGCAGGGGACACCTCACCCCGAGAAGGGCCTGAGGCCTCTCCTGGACAGCCGACTGCCCCTGCAGGGCTCCTCTGGGTGCACTCCCCCCACCAGACGGGCCTCCCCACAGTCTTGGTTCCTTCCCGTGTGCACCCAGCCAGGGGGCTATGAGGTCTGCTGCTTCCAGGCGGAAGAACTGAGGCCCAGGGTGTGAGGTACTCGATGCTGGCATCAACCCTGCTCCCACAGTTCAGAGAGGGCCTCAGCCATGAGCCTAGCTCCTGCCCCAGGGAATGTTATCAGAGGGTCCAGAGGGCAAGGGGAGGAGGAGGGGAGGAAGGGCAGGACAAAGGCCTTGGGCTCAGCGTGGCCTTTGCCCTTCTCCCACCAACCCCTGCCCTGGGCTTAGCTTGGGGAGGCTCCTGGGTGGGCAGCCCCAGGACTGAAGCCCAGAGATGGAGATGCTGGGGAGGGGGCCGTGTGAACTCCACTGTGTCACCCGTACCCCACGCAAGCCCTGCCCATAGGTCTCTGGGACTTCCCTCTAGACACCCCACCCCAGCCCACTGAGTTGTTCCCAAGTCTGAAGAAGCCCATCACCCTCTCACCACCACCACCCCCACCCCCAGTCCAGGCTGTTTTCAGGGCTTGGGGGCAGGGAAGGGAGGGACCAAGTGTGAGGGACTGAGGTGGGCCCAGAGATCCCTGGTTTGTCCCCTAAGCACCCTCCCATCTCACCAGCCTCTCCCTGGGGAGCCAGGCTGCTAGGAAGGCCCCATACACCCCCAGTTCCTGAGCCCATCTGTGCTACAGGCGTAGCAGGAGAGCGAGCGGCATGGGCGCCCACAGCCTTCTAGAGATTTCCCAACTCTCCCAGCAGGCTGCCCTGCTCAGGCTCTGGTCTAGACTGATCAGCAGGTGACCTTTGCCCGGCTCACTGGGCCCTCGGTGCCTGCTGCCCTGGGGACAGTATAAAACAGGTCAGAACCCTCTTGTCTGCTTACCCAGTTCTTCTAGAAGCAGCTGCTCCAGGTAATGCCCCTGGGAGGTGAGGTGAGCAGGGATGGGGAGCAGCAGAGGAGGGTCCCTGCCCGGCCCAGCCAGCAGAGCTGGAAGAGAGCTGGCTGGAGCCAAGGAAGCCATAGGCTTGACTGCACACTGGGGGAAACCGAGGCCCAGGAGGACGGTCACTTGCCCAAAGTTACACAGAGTGTAGCGGCAGAGCTGGGCCTGGAACTGGCCCCAGATTCCCCTCACTCTGCATGTGTAGGACTGGAAGAACACCCTAGTCCTACCCCAGACAGAAAAACCGAGGCCTGGAGAGGGACAGATATCTACCCAAAGTCCCACAGCATGTTAGTGGCAGAAACCAGGCCAGAACCCAGGTGTCCTGATTCCTAGGCTGGTGGGTTTTCTGCTCCATCCCATCCCCCTCTCTCTGCACCTGGGTCTTCCCGGGATCCCTATCTGAAAGCCCTTCATCTCCCCATATTAGCGTGGGAGCAGGGCCCTTCTTCTCCTGGCTTGACCCAGCTCAGGTTCCACCTAAGGGGCCACACCACTTCCCCAGGGAGGGCCCAGAGGTGGTGGGGGGACTTGGGGTGCCCCTCACAGGACACTCTCCTGCAGGAACGAAGGTGCCATGCAGCCCCGTGTCCTCCTCGTTGTTGCCCTCCTGGCACTCCTGGCCTCCGCCCGTAAGCAGCTTGTGGGGACTGGGCTGGGGGCAGCTGTCTGCCTAGAGGACCCTTGGGAGGTGGCTTGGGGATCCCAGGCCCTGATGGCTGGCTGGGCAGGAGTCGAGGGCTCCCCAGAGGTTCATCCCCCCGACTCAGCCCTGCTTTCCTCGTAGGAGCTGCAGAGGACGAGGATTCCTCCCTTCTGGATGTTGTGCATGGCTACGTGAAGCACGCCTCCAAGACAGCAAAGGACGCACTGACCAGCGTGCAGGAGTCCCAGGTGGCCCAGCACGCCAGGTACGCCCTCCTTACCTGTCCTCTGCACAGGCTCCCTCAGCACCCACCTGCCCCTGACCTGGCGAGAGCCCTGGAGGTGGGGCTGTGGCTCTCCCACGCCCAGCCAGGGCCTGCACCTCTCTGAGCCTCCGTGTTCTGGTCTATAAAACGGGGTTCCTCCCAGGGCTTTTCCAGGCTGCCAGGAGAGGTGACTGAGGCAGGACTGCTTGCCTCCTGTCTCCCCCTGGCCTCGCCTCCCTCTGTCGTCCCTCTTTTCTCCCGCAGTGCCCCGTGGCTCCATGGCAGGCCATTGCAGCCCTCACTTGCATTTCCTTTTCTGATAGTCTCGCTAGAGGTTTGGCTTGGGAGGCCCCACCTGACCGATTTCAGCCCAGGGTGTTTGTATGTGTGATTCTGCCTTGTTCCAACCCCGGGGTCCTGTGTGAGCAGAAGTCTGTCCTTCCTCTCCCACCCTGCCCCTGCCCGCTAGTCCTCTCCTTTCCCCAACCCCCTTCCCCACCTCCGCTCCATTGACGTAGCAGAGGCATTCACAAACATTCTTAGTGCTCAGAACTGGCTATGGAGTATTATTTTCCCCATTTTGCAGATGAGAAAATCGAGGCTCAGAGAGGTTAAGTGACCTGCCCCAGATCACACAGCTAATCAATCCTCTGATGATTTTCCAAATGAGAAACTGCTTCCTTCTGCCCCATCCCACTCAGAGCCACCAGGTTGTACAACTCTAGGGGGCGTCATTTGCCTAGAATAGAATAAGAGCCCTGACTTTACACATCTCCCCACTCAGTCACTCCTCTCCAGCTTGCCTCAGACCCGTGTTAGCACAAAGGGCTGCCCAACCTGGAGAAACATGGCTTGGACTTGTGCTAGGGTCCCATCACCACCCTCGGCATCTCTTCTGCCTGGGGTGGCAGCCGTGGGGGTCCCTGCCTGAGGTCTCAGGGGCGTTGCTGGGTGAGGCTGGGGTGGGGGCAGAGGCGGTGGGGACGTGGTGGGGGCCCGTGGTTGCTGCCACCTACAGAGCTCTCACTCCCACCTCTGTTGCTTCCCCCTACTGATTTACCCCCCAGGGACTGGGTGTCAGATGGCTTCAGCTCCCTGAAAGACTACTGGAGCAAGCTGAAGGGCAAGTTCTCCGGGTTCTGGGATTCCACCTTTCAGCCCAAAGCAACTGCAGGCTCTGAGGCCGCCTGAGACCTTGACACCACAAGTCCACCTGCCCGTCCATCCTGCAGGCTCTTTGGGTCCTGCAGCCTCCAGGGCTGCCCCCAAAGGTCGCTTGAAAGGGACAGCATCCTCAGTGCCTTCTCACCCCACCCTGGACCTGATCACCCCCAGGCATGCTGACCTCCCAATAAAGCTGGATGAGAAGCTGCCGTGAGTGGGTGTCCCACGCGTGCCGTGTATGTTCGGGCATGGGAATGGGCCAGGGCTGTTCTCCGGGCAGGCGCTGGACTGACTCCAACTCGGGCAGACCTGGGGCCAGTGCCCTACCCACCTCTTAGAAGCTGGGTGGTGTCTGGGCCCCAGTTTCTTCATCTGTAAGGGAGGAATAACCCTACCTACCCTACTGCCTCGACAGGCTTGTGTGGAGGACCAAATGGGATAAGAGATTTGACAACACTTGGATAAATTGCCAAATGCCATGCAACATGACTTGAGTGTGTGGTCTCTGCCAGGCACTGTGGCTGGCATTTTTCTGTCATCATCAGAGTTGAGACTGTGTGTGTTCACCAGAATTATGGAGCTGACTTGCACCACCCCGGCCGCCTGGCCCTCGCAACCACACTTGAGGGAAGGAGGCCGATGGGGTGGTGGTTAGAGTAATATGCAACTAGGCTCTAGTCTTGGCTCCATCACTTTATATCAGCCTCAGTTTCTTATCTGTAAAGTGGGCACATTAATACCCCCTCCGTTGTAGATTTGTTGAATGAATGAATGAAATGAGACAGGGCACAGCACCTGGCCCATCAAAAGCACCTGGTAAACGATTGTCATTGTTGCTATAGACTGAGCCGATTGTCCCCTTGGGACCCGGACTGAAGAGGGGGGCCAGTGTCCTGGGGACAAAGAAGGAACCCAAGGTTACACAACAAAGGCTGCTTCTGTTATGTCCGCACCACCCAACAGATGTTCACGACAGAGAGTTCCAGAACCATAGACTACTTGAGCAGGCCCCCCACTCTTCCAATGAAAAAACTGAGGCTCAGACAGGTGAAGGCACTTGCCCAGTGTCACAGAGCCAGCAAATGCCAGAGCCGGACCTCAAGCGCGGGTCTGCTGCCCATATTCTGCTTAGTTACTCCTAGGCCAGGTGTCAGAGGGCTCCTTGACAGATCTTGGTGGCATCAGTACATCCAGCCCCACTTGGAGATGTCTGCAATGGAAATCTACCCGGGCTTCTCTTCTGGCCCTGCTGGCCCAGGGATCGCAGCCCCCACACCTGGAAAATATTCTAACCCAAATCTGGGCTTGACACTGCTTGTTGTAGCTCTGGATGGTTAAGAACTGCAAGCCCACTCCTTTATCTGCGAGTTAAGACACACTGGAGGGGGAGGAGGGACAGATTATCCAGCGGCCTGCACCAGGGGGAGAGGGTAAGGAAGTCTCCATGGATGCACGGCTCATATCTTTGAAGATCAGCAAAGCCACGTGCATGCACATGGGGGTATATGTACCTGAGTGTGGAGAGGGGCTGGCTGTGAACAGAGATGCACATGAGAATATGCATGCCTGCGTGCGCATCTATGTGAACTTGAGTGCCTGGCCACACACTTTTTTAAAAAAATAATCATGGATGCCCAGGGGCAGATGGGTCTAAAAAGGGCGATGCTGCCCATCCTGCTCTTCAGCCTCGGCGAGTGACTTCACACGTCCCAGCTGCAGCTTCCTCATCCGTCCCGTGGAGTTGATGGCAGTCTACTCAGGACTTCGGGAAGGGTGCAGTGAGATGACGGGTATGAAAGCATCTGGGGAAATAAACACGTGCTAATCACCTGCAGGAGGTGGTGATTATTTTTCTGACTCAGGCCAGAGCTGGCAGAAAGAGAGGGTGGCAGGGTTTGGAGCCCCGTGGGTAGGACACTGGCTTGCACAGCTGTGCCTGAGGAAACAGCGACTGCTTCTGGGTGGGGTGGCAGTGTGAAGAGTGGTATGCCGCCCTTGTGAGAAAAGCAAAAGGAAGCATTTATTTAAGCGTTTTTTTGAATTAATAAAGGAGGAAGGAGCAAGCACTAAGCTCTTCACCTGAACCTGCCCAAATCCTTCAAGTTCGATTGCTCCTTGGGCCCACCCCAGCCAGCAGAGAGCGGGAGGGCTGGGAGAGGCTGCTGTCCTCTGCCCACAGGAACCCTGCTGGGAACAGGGAGTCCACTTCTCCCAGCAGAGCAGACCATTTCCTGACTCTCCTCAGCCAGGGCTGCAGGACTTACTGTTTGAGGTTCTTTCCCAGCTTTTCTGTCGCTTTGCCTAGTCCTCTTATTTCCTTTCTGTTCTGGCCCCCTTCGGGAAGGGACTCTATCTACTACCCGACAACAAGCAGCCAGGGCCTAGCAGGTCCTCCCACACTGACGAAAGGCCCTGAAAGGCCTAGGTTCGGAGCTGACCAGCTCCAACTGGAAAATCAACAGGGAAGTGCCTGCTCCCTGGCCGGTCTCCCTTGGAGGTCTCCTCCAGTGGCCCACACCCAGCCCCCACTCTCCCAAAAGAGGCTTTTTTGAAAACATTTTATTGTTTAAAAATCATAATTGGAGCTCCAAAAAACATACAACCCAACACGTGCATCCCACTTTGGAAACATTTATTCTAAGAAACCGACGGAAAGGGGAACCCGAGGAGAGAGCCCCTTGGGTCCCGGGGCCCACGGGAGGAGTCCCCGTGGCGATGGGCGTCTCACTGGGCGGTCAGCTGCTTGGAGGCCTCATCGATGGCAGAAAGGACGTTGGCCTTGAAGCTCTCCAACATGGGCTGCAGGCCCTGGCGGAGGTCCTCCAGCGGGGGCTGGGCCTTCTCGCTGAGCGCTTTCAGCTGCGCGGTGACCTTGGCGTAGTATTGGGACAGGGTGGCGCCGCCGCCCGCCTTGAGCTCCTGGAGCCGGGAGGCCAGGCGCTGGCGCAGCTCTTGGCTGAAGGGCGTCATCTGCACGCGCAGCTCTTCCACGTGGGCGCGCAGGCGGTCGCGCGCCTCCTGGGCCAGCGGGCTCAGCTTCTCTTGCAGCTCCTGCAGCTTCTGGCGCGCGCCCTCGCGGAGCTCCTCGCTCAGCGGCGCCACCTTCTGGCGGTAGGTCTCCAGCTCCGCCTGCCACTTCTTCTGGAAGTCGTCCAGAAAGGGCTCCACCTGCTGCTTCAGCTGCTCCAGATCCTTGTTCAACTCCTGCCTCAGCCCCTCTGTGTCCTTTTCCAGGTTGTCCCAGAACTCCTGGGTAGCTGGGCCTAGCTGTTCGCGCAGCTTGCTGACGGCGGCGCTCAAGGTGTCCCAGTTTTCCAGGAGTTTCAGGCTGAAGGGGAAGAGAGAGAGGGCCTCAGAGGTGGCCTCGCTGGCACCCTGGACACCGCGGAGCTGCAGGCCCAGCGCCCTAGCTCACCTGTAGTGAGACCTGGGCAACACCTGTCGCTGAGTGTGCAATAGCCGTGGGCCACACCCCAGCCTGCCTTTTCCCATACACTATCTCACCCAGTGCACCCCACACCCCCTCCACCACATCCCATTGTACAGGTGGACTGAAGAGCTAGAAAGAGATGCAGCTGGGTTTGGTATCCAGTCTTGTCTGTCCCCATAGCTGGGCCTTTTAAGGTCCTCATCTCTATACTTCCAGACCATTCTCCTCTCTGAAGACAGCCATCTCTGCTGCTGGGCAGGAGCAGAGGAGGTGGTTGAGAACGGGAAGGGGCTGTTGCACTTGCAGACAGAAGGCAGTGCTGTGACTCCTGACTAGGTGGCACTGCTCTGTCGCTTGCTAGGAGGCTGTGACCCTGCTCTGGGATCCCCTTCCTGTTTCTCCATCCGGGCCTTCTATGGGGCCCATCAAATAGTAGATGGGGATTCGGGCAGTCGGGCTACATCTTCCCACAGGCCTCTTTGCCCCTCAGGACCAGCAGCCCCAGCCCCTGCCCCAGGCCGGGTCCTTACTTCAGCTGTTTTCCCAAGGCGGAGGCTTCAAACTGGCTCATATAGTCTCTGCTGCTGTCTTTGACGGCGTCCAGGTACACGGTGGCTAAATCCTTCACTCGATCCCAAGATGACTGGGGTTCATCTTGCTGCCAGAAATACCGAGCCTGGCTCCCTGCGGGTGGGAGGGGAGACTCAGATCAGGTCAGCTCTGGGCCAGGATCTGAGCTGAAATGCCAGACTTGGAGGCAGGGGAGAAGGGGCTAGTGAGAAATTTTGCTCCCTGTGCCCAGGAGGGTGGACCACTGGGGTTTAGGGAGAAGGGTCCCCCTGATGGTTGGCTCCCTAGGTTGGGCGGCACCTACCCGTGAGGAAGAGCACGGCCACGGTCAGCACCACTGCTTTCATCCTGAAGAGATGTGGGTGACCTGGAGAAGAAGGACCTGGCTGAGTAGGGCGGCTTCTAGCATGCAGGAGCTCTGTGTTCCCCACTCATTCCAGCCAAGGGAGGAGGAAGGGGAGCACAGAATGGGAGAAGGCCTCAGGTCTCCAGAGCCCGGGATTGGGGGTATGAGGCAGTCTGGAGCCAGGAACCCAGAGCCTGAGCCTCAGATGCTAGAGCTGGGAGAAACCGGAGGAACCTGGAGCAGGCGGCAGCACTTACCTCAGCGCCTCAGCAGTCTCGAACAGCCAGCTCTCCCCGGCCTATTTATGTCTCCAGGCAGGGGCTGGGCTGAGAGGCTGATAAGCCCAGCCCAGGCCTTGCCACTGCTCACTGGTCCTAGCGATGTGGAACTTAAGAGTTCAAGGATCAGCCCTGTCCCTGGGGCCGGCAAATAGAGTGGGCAAACAGGAAGCTGCAGGGGCTGCAGGGCCAGGGATCAAGGGTTCAGGTGGGAGTGGGAGGGGGCGGTTGCAGGTTGGCGGGTCCCCTGGGCCGGGGTCAGCTGCACCCATCCCCTTCTTCTCGATGGGGGGGTATGTGTCCGCCATTGTCCATTGTGACAGAGCAGCCACCCACCCGGGGAGAGGAGGGAAGGAAGAAGAATACACAAGCTGGCTGGGACTCCTCCACTCAGGAGATGTCCTCCCCCACCGTCCTCTCGCATTCCAGGGAAATTATGTCACACCCACCCCTGACCCCGACCCCACAAAGGCGGCAGACAGCTCTCCCACCAACATTCTGTTGCATCCTTCATCCCGACAGGTCCCACACACCCCACTCCGGGCCGTGGAAGACCTCCCAAATCCATAAGCAAAGGGAACCTGCGGTGCTAGGGAGCTGCCTGGGGAGAGCAGAGAGAGCTCAGTGGCTCCTAGACTTTGAGACTTCAGAGACCTCTAATATTTCAATACAAATTTGAGAGACCCATGGAGCTGCCAACTTTTAATTTTGTCATGTAAAAATCTTTCCCACTGCCCCTCCTGCCCAAACCCTACCATCTACCATGACCAGCACTTCAGAAGATTTTTTAACACCAAAAAAAGGCATAATCTCAGAATAAAGAAGTCACTTGTATTGAATACATGTATCCTTGCATTGTCCATACTTATATTTGATCACGCACAGGTGAGAATGGATGCCAGCCCTTAGGGTCACTGGGGGAGAGATCTCTGGTCTGGGAAGTAGCAAAAGACCTGGTTTCTCATTTCACTTTGCCTCCAACTTGCAAAATCCTGGAGGAGGATCGCGAGCCAGTTATGTAATCTCTCTGAGCCGTGGCTTCCTATCAGGAAAATGGAGACAAGAATGGCCGGGTTGTTGGAAGACCCAGTGAGATCCTGCGATTGGAAAGTGCTGTGTGTTCGTTGGTATTTGTGGCACCATTTTGTAAGGTTGCTCCTGAAAGGCCAAGACCTCCAACCAACAGGACCTGAGTCATAGAACATGTGAATGTTCAAGCTGAGAAGAACTTTGAGATCAACGGCTCCAGCCTCTCCCCACCCCACCATCTTACAGACAAGGAAACGAGACAGTGAAAGGAGTTTGCCCGATGTCTCTGGTCTCCCAGGGAGTTAGAGGCAGGGCTGGACTTCGAACCCAGGTCTCTGAACTTAGGACCCAGGGCAGAATGGGCCCTGCATCATCTACCCTGGAAACTCCCTAACATTCTGAAGACCAGCCTGGGCCACCGTCTGCCGGATCGTGGAGTGGCAGGGCTCCAGGCCTCTCCCATCCTAGCCAATCTCATGCATTTCGCCTCAGAGAAGAAAGCTTTGGAGCCAGTCTCCGATTTGAATCCCAGCTCTGCCACTTATTAGCTGTACGACCCCAGGCAAGTTATATAACCTCCCCACACCTCAATTTATTACCTGTTAAATGAAGATAATGATAGAACATGCCATCCCCTAGAGTTATAGTAGGGATATGTATGGCAGGCAGAATAATGGCCTCCCAAAGATGTCCATGTCCTCCTCTCTGGAACCTGTGATTCTTACCTTACATGGAAAACGGACTTTGCAGATGTGATCATAAGGACCTTGAGATGGGGTGGTCATCCTGGCTTATCCAAGTGGACCCAATGCCACCACAAGGATCCTTAAATATACAAGAGGGAGGCAGGAGAGGCAAAGTCAGAGAAGGAAAAGAGAGGACAGAATCAGAAGTCAGACTGATGTGATTGCTAGAAGGGGGCCATGAGCCAAGGAATGTGAGCAGCTTCTAGAAGCCGGAAAAGGCAAAGACGCAGGTTTTCCCCTAGAGCCTCCAGAAGGAACACAGCTCTGCTGACACCGTGATTTTAGCCTAGTGTGACCCATTTTGGATTTTTGACCTCCAGAACTGTACTGTAAGATAATAAATTTGTGTTGTTTTAAGCACTCAATTTGAACATGTATGGCAAAACTGAACGGTGCCTGGCACTGAGTAAACGGTAACTATTCTATGTCCCAGAATCGCAATTTCTGGCCTTCTATCCCCTTGTTCCCACTGAACAAGTTTGCATTGTCAGACCAGAGCTAAGACCTCGGCTTCTGGCAGCAGAAGTGGGGCAAGGCAGGGAATCGCATTTTCTCCGCGTGGCCCTGACTTGCAGATGCTGAGGTGTGGGACCTCTGTTCCAGGACTACCCCCCACACACCCCCCGCAGGGGTCTGTGGGACCGTGCAGAGGGAGACTCAGCAAACAGTCTGCCTGGGCTGCCACTTGGCCAACCCAGCTTCCTGCCTGTTGTTTGCAGAGTGGGAGGGAGGCCGCTCCCCTGCTAGGGCAGCTCCTGGTGTCTCAGGCTGAGAGAGCTTCTTTTCATTTTTGGGGTAGAGCTTGTCCCAGCCAGCATATGGGGGATTTCAGAAGCTTACTGGTTGGACTCCAAGCTACTTGCCACTGTTTTACCCTTCTCTTTGGTTTATTACTGAAATAATTATTATGGCTAAATCTGGGATCCGACATTTGCATAGTTCTTTAGTGGCCAAAGCATTTTCACAATTAACTTAGTATGTTGCTGTAAGGCCAGCTGGCCAGATATTCTCCTTATTATTTTGCCTGAGAGAAGACTGCAGCTCAGAGCTGCAAACAGCTGCCCTGCGTTCTCCAGCCATTAGTATTTGGTGTTCGCAGGACTGGGAATCAGGAGGCCTGGCTTCTAGTGCTTTGATGGTGGCCTGTTGGCCACCAGCAGCAGGGCCCTGACTCCCATGGTGCCTTGTACTCTGCTCAGGACTTCTTAGCTTCCTGGCTTGGGAATTTCAAGGCATCAGGCTAGGGAGTGCTGTTTGACAGCACCTTACCAAGCAGGAAGGTTTCTTTTCTAATATACTTATTAGGTAAGTATATCTTATACTTATACACACACACACACACTAGCGTGTCTACTCCGTTTCATTGTAAGATATTTGGCTTAAACTAGCCCAAGACCCTTGTTACTAATATTTTAGAGAAGGAAGTCTTTCTGGATGGAGGCCTATGGAAATACCACCACCAACAAACTGGGCATATCTCAGAATCAGACGTGGGGTCTATCCTGTATTGTTAGAGGTGTCGAGTGCCCATGGATTGGACTAGCTGCCTAGTGGGTGAGGGCCCACCAACATAGGCCCTTAGTCCCACTACTCTCTTCCCCTGATCATGGGAGTCTCCAGAAGTGGGTGACCAAGTGGCTGGCCCTGGGTCCCCTGACACATGTGACAGTGCTGCTAGCTGACTGCAGGAGTGGATTTTGCTCAGAATGATTAGCAACTCATTTCACAATTTATGTCCCAACGTCGTACTGGTCAGTCTGCACTGGGAGGACTCTGTCCCCTTGCTTGGTCTGGCACATAACAGACACTCAACAAATATTTGCTCAATGAACGACACTGGTGCACTAACGCAAGTGTCCCCAGGATGGTAAAGAGTCATCTGAAGGAGCGGGCCTTGGGAGACTCAGGAAACTCTTAAGCATTTGGCCCTGGATCACGGACCCCGCTCAGAACGTTTCATCTGAGAGCATGTGGTGCAGGTCAGGATGGGAGACTGGGGGTTGGGGAGGTTTGGACTGATCAGGGGAGAGAGGAGCCCCCCCTCCCAATATTTCCTATTTGGCAATTTTATTGTAGCTCCTGGTGGTAAATAGAGCCCTAGTTTAGACCCTAGGGCAGGGCATTGTAACCAACCAAATGCAAGATTCTCTCCTGCCCCTCTGCCTAGGAGACTAAGGTGACGACAGAGCTCACCTGTGACCAGCATGAGCAGGGGTCTGGCTCCTTGGCAGGCACGCCAGCCTTCTGAATTCTTCATCTTTGCAGTTGGAGTTGGGTAGGGGGTACCACAAAGTCAGAAAGAAGACCAGTAAGGATCTGTCAGCATGCCTTCTATTTTCTAGAGCCCAGATCTCCAGATCTATCCAGGAGGCAATGCACTGATTCCTCTGTGCTTGTCCCAAAGGCACCTTGGCTGACTTGGGGAGAGTGGCACCTATTGCAAAAGGTTGTTACCAGTTGTTGGAAGGCACCTGGGTATACTGCTGTTTGGTTCCAGAGACACTCACCCAGCCTTCCATGGGAGTGTGTACAGACAGACGATTTCTAGAAGACCCTGCTTGAGAAGGTTCTTTTCTGTTCTAAATAGTCCCACAGTGATTTTCTAGTCCACCAGGGACTCGAAAGCCTTGGTAAGTTCCCTCCTCTCACTCTTCTTTCTACAAACACAGTCAATATTTCCAGCTTCAGTCATCTTGCTTCAGAGAAGACCTTCAATCAGCTTTCTCTTAGCCATGCCTGGGATCTTGCTGGAAATTCTACCCTGCCCTGTTGGAGTCCAGGTGTGGGAAAAGGGCAAAACTCTAGGTAAGTCCCCTTTCTATCCTAACACTTTTTGGGGATCACATCTCTGGGCTGACTGAAGTCACCTCATAAAGGCCCTAGCCTGTGCCAACTCTTTGAGGCCCTCCTTCTACTCTTTCAAAAGTACCCTCTCAAGGAATCTATTTTCCATCCAACTCAGCAAACTCAAATGCTCCCTTCTGAGGGGCAGAGTCCAAGCCAGGTACCTGCAGACACAGTGTGGAGCTGAGTTCCGGATTCTAGAGAATGCTACTTTTACAAGGTGGGGTGAGACAGTGGATTGCTCAAAGTTCCACTCACACTTGGTAGACAGACTTCTGCAGCCTCCAGCGTTCCAGCTTCTACCCAGCTGGATGCTTCTCCCAACTAGACTCTGAACCACGAGGCAAATAATATATCAACATAAGATCGTAATCAGGTTTTTATTTTCACAATCCCCTACTGTCCAACTAAGTTACTAAGTTGTAAGTGCCCATAAAGAAAGGACTAAAGGTCTTATTGCAACTTGGGTCTGGAGGTTTTTTTAATCCTTTTTTAGTTCAACATAAATGAGAAAGAGAAAATACTTCTGACATTTTCAAAGAACAGAAATAGGAAAGTATATTCATATACATTCAACATATACTGCGCATATTGGTTACTACAATACAAAGCAATGATTTTTTAAAAGTGTAGTTCGCAAGATGGCACGGTTAATAGGCTCACTGGCTTCCATCTGGGTGGTTGCTGGGGGTGGCAGTCTGGTCTTCCATCGATACAGTACCACGTCAATGGAACAGGCTGAGCTTGGGCGGTGTGGGGGCGGGGGGGACAGCTGGGGGCATCGAGGTTGCAACGAGCCCCGAGAAGTCAAACAGTAGCTGTTAGGGCTTTCTTGGTAGCCTCTGTCTGGTGAGTAGTTGGTGGCCCCACCAAGTGGAGGGGAGATTGGGGACCATAGAAAAGATCCCGAGAAAGACTCTTGCTCTGCAGAAATCCACTTGAGGGATATTGGGTCCAGGAGCTGAGCTGCCAATATCAGTGAGAAGGACAAGCTGCATGGGGATCCCGTCAGCAGCAGCAGGATGGCCATGCTGGGCACCCGCTTTCTTCTGTGCAAATTCAGGATGAAAGACTAGGAGGGGACTGGGGACCTTTTACTCTCCTCTCCCAGGAAAAAGGATCAAGAGTCAAAATATTTAACATCTCTTTCTTGTTTTGAAGATCAGAAGGAGATAACCCAGATCCTCTGTCAGCCCCCAGCCAGCAGAGAAGACTTTGGTTTCTAACAGTGAAGAAAAATAAAGATAGTGACACAATAGCTATTGCATATGCACTGCTTCAACTGGGGAAAGGAGACCACTATGTCTGTCACTGGTACAAGAGAGAACTGGTCACAATTACAATGTCTAAATAAAATACTTTGAACAAAAGGTGCAAGTCACAATTCAAATAGAACAGAATCTGGTTAAACATTTCTCTTTAAAACAAAAATTCCTTTTGTTTTTATTTATTAATAATAATAACAATAATAATAATAATATCAACATTTACCAAAAACAATTCCTACATGATACAGAATTAAAATAGGGGCTGAGGATGCCCAGGGAGGAGGAGAATGTTAGGAGAGAGACAAGACTCGAGACAACCTCCTATTCTTCTTGCTTGTGACAAAGAGGCTGAAAGGGAAAAGCATACATAGATATACATATACACGTGTGTGTGTATATATATATATATGTATATATATACATATATGGAGACAATTCTTTTTACAGCACAATATAAAATGAGGATGAAAGGTGACACAAAGCATAGTGCCCCACTGTTGGGTTGGTTCAGTCCATGGGTAGAACCAGCAGGATGGTAAAGGGAACCGACTTTCCAGGTTACAAGAGGGGAGCTGAGTATGCAGCAGAGAAGGCTCACACGGAGACACTCTAACCAGCACCCCATCAATGCCAGGTCACTTGCAGCCTCCAGGCTAACGTTCTGATCTGACCTTGGCTGGGCCAGACATGTTTCAGTGGATCCCAGCACTGAAGACTTCCCCAGGTTCCACTTTTGCTCTCCAAGTGCCAGAGGCCATCACCCCTACCACTCTCCCTTTCTCCAGCCACTACAATTCCAGAGGATGTTCTCCTTTAGAATTTGCTCCTGTGGGGGAGCAATGCAAGGCCCGGAGGGTGCTCTGTGGGTGGAAGCTGGGAGAGGAGTGGCTCTGGGTCCCCTGGCCTCTGTACTCTAACTGCTTTGCCCTTCTGTCTCAAAAAAGAAAAGAAAGGGAAAAAAAAAAAAAAAGACACAAAAGAAAGAAAAAAAGAAAATCACCTCCAAAAGAAAACATATCAAAACCAAAACAAAAAACAAAATAAAACAAAAACAAACCAAAACCCAAACCAAAGCAAACCAAAGCACCAACTCAAATACACCAAATACGCTTTCACAAAAAGTGGCGAACATGGATTTCCTGTTTATTTCCTTGGTGACTTGGTCATACAAGCAAACATGGCAAAACCCCCTCAGAACCCAAAGAACAGCACACTGATGAACCAAACGTGAGGAAAGGAGCCACGACACTCTGGGTGGAGAGAAACACAACGGCAATTTGGCGCAATGCTGCTAGATACTGTTGGTTTAAAGTCAACCTCTTCATTCCCGAGCTGTACACAAACCTACAACAGAGCAGACACACAGGAGGATTAGTCTCCAAAAAGAACATCTCAAATATTCAACTGAAAACTTTTTTATAAATGCAACTGGTTTACTTTACCTCAGGTATTTTAAGAGGTTTGCCATATTGAGGCTCTAATATGGATTTGCCAGATGGCTTAACTTGCCTCAAGTCTTTTCTGTCAAAGAGTTTTGAAAGACAGACCCAATACTATGTACTTTTAGGCATTACTCCAGACAAACTGGTCAATTTACCCATTTTCTACCACCGGCCTCTGATCACCTATTCCCCCTGTCTAGGATATTCTGCCACAGCACAGCCTTAAAAAATATGGCTGCACATGTTTTCTTGCTGGGTTTTATCTTTCAGGACTGAGCTCAAGGACTGCCTTCTTTCCTTATTACCCTGGCCAGGGATCCCCTCTGTCCTCTGAAGCTGTAGCTCACTGACGGTCTCTGTGAAGGCTACAGCACCGATAACACACGTGCCTCATCCCCCATAAGTAAACCAAGGGACTCTGGCCAGCATTTCTTCTGTATGCCCCCTGCCCACACCCCCAAACCACTAGCACAGTGCTTAATGAAAGAGCAGGAAGATGCAAAGACCATGAGGGGAAGAGTGGCATTGTCGACCTCACTGGCTACCACACATGCAAGGAATCCCCTGACAGGATCAGGAGCTGGCACTGGGCCAAAGGGCTGGTCTGGCCCTGGCCAGGGTGATACTCACTCTCCATTTCCTGTTACACGCCTGCCTGTTCCATGCTGAAGGAGACCTCGGGGTGCTTGTAGCTGAGCAGAATGTCTGTAATACACGTTGATGGATAGCAAGAGGAGTTTAAATGCTGGCTGCCATCAGTCAGGTCTGAGTGCTCATGACCTCCTAGACTCTCCCCGCATTCTGCACGACCAGAAAGAACATGTGAGATTTGCAGGGAACTAGGAGGGAAGGTGGGCAAAGGAGAGAGAGGAGGAAGAGAAGTCTGAGCACCCTGTAGCTGACTCCCAGACCCAAATCCGGGCTCGTAACAGGCCCTCAGTGTGTTTAGTGACTTTGGGGTGGGGGCCAGGATTCTTCCTATAGTCTCTAAGTGTTTCATTGTTCCCTTTTCCTTCACTGTTTCCCACCATCAAGCACTATCAACTATGGTAGTGTGAGAGAAGACAACCACCACTCCTTCTGAAAGACTTAGCTCTTTAGGGGAGAAGACAACTTTACTGCTAGCAGACACTGATTACCGGGAACTCTCTGTGTTCCAGGCATTGTTCTAAGCACTTTAAACTCACTAAGCCAGTTAATGTCACAGCACAGTCTAGGATATAGGCTCTACTATTTCTGCCACTTTACAGAGGACAACCTCAAGCCTCAGAAAGGTTAAGCTCCTTGCCTGTGGAGCCTGTAAAGGGTGCAGTCACAATTTACTGCAGACCTGGCCATTTCCAGGGCTATGCTTCATATTTATTAAGACACCTTCCCTTTCTTGGTTCTAAGGAGAGGTAGAAATATTCCATTAGAACACAATGCTTCTCATCAGAACCAGAAAAAGAGTTATTAAAGGACTATCTTCACACAGCATCACAAACAGAAATGTGACACCCCTGCTCTCAACCAGAAGACATGCTCCTTCAGGCACCCACATTCGGGGGAAGAGAAGTGGGGAAGGGTTTTGTGTCCAGAACCCCATGGGGATGCTGTGGCTCTGCCTTCCCATAAACTCTTTATACAGAAGAGGGGAGCAGTCACTGGTGAAGATGGCGGGGGGGCCCTCCAGGAACTTCTCCAGGGTGCCCCACGTGTAAGGCCCCTTACCCTCATTTTCCCCATCCTGAAACTGCTGACTCCCCATGAGCGAGGACTGACTGAGAACTGCATCCGACATCCGGGCAGAACTAAGTGCTTTCCCAGCCACGAGACTCATTCCTGGCAAGTTATCCAGCTGCACCTGCAGACAACATTAGGAGAAGAAGTAAGGACACCAGACAATGTGCCACTGCCAGGTGACCCTTAGAGATAGCTGTTCCCTCTAACAGCCCAGGGAAAGAGCAGTCCCAGGCATCACTCCCAAGCAGTACCATCCAGACTCCCTTCCTCTGCAGTGCCACCCAAAGGGGGATGCTGCAGTGGCAAGAGTGTGGGAAGCTGCCTCAGCTTTCCCCCACAGAGCGGGTAGGGGTGGAGGAGGGCGTGGTGAATCTCAGCTGGTGGTCAGATGCCCTTGACACCTACATCGCCTTTGAAAACCCTATTTCTGACCTATCCCCATCACACTATCACCACTAGGAGTCTGTGTTAGGACACCAGTGTCCAATAGCACTCTCTATGAGGAGGGAAATATTCTTTATCTGCCCTGTCCAATACGGAGCCACTAGCCACTAGCCACAGTGGGTACCGAGCACTCGTAATGTGACTAGTGTGACGGAGGAACTAAATTTTTTATTTTATTTTGTTTTATTTTACAGACAGTTTCCGACTTAACGATGGTTCGACTTACAATTTTTCAACTTTACAATGGTGCGAAAGCAGTAGGACTTCAGTAGAAACCATACTTCAGATTTTGCATTTTGATCATTTCCTGGGCTGGTGATAAGCGGTACAATCCTCTCTCGTGATGCTGGGCAGGGGCAGCAGCCGCAGCTCCCAGTAAGCCCCGCGATCACGAGGGTGAACAACCGAGACACTGACCCCCATTCTGTACCCAGACAACCATTCTGTTTCAGCATAGTATTCAATAAATTACATGAGATATTCAACACTTTATTATAAAATAGGCTTTGTGTGAGACGATTTTGCCTAACTGTAGACTACTGTAAGTGTTTTGAGCACTTTTAAGGTAATCTAGGCTAAGCCACGGTGTTCAGTAGGTTAGGCGTATTCAATGCATTTTCGACTTAGGATATTTTCAGCTTACAATGGGTTTCTCGGGATGTAGCCCCATCATAAGTCAAGGAAGATCTGTACATTTAAATTTGAATAGCTACATGTGGCTAGTTGCTACTGTATTAGGCAGTGCTGCCCTAAGAGTCTGCTGTAGGAAAATGAAGCTTTGCTGAGCCAGACTAGCTCCCTTTATCTGAATAAGTTCAATGTAGCTACCAGAAACCTAACTAAGAGCCTAAGGGTTCACTTGCTGGGGCTTGAGTTTAGACTGTTTGGGGAGAAGTTCAATAACTAAGACTAGAGGGAACAGATGATAACTACCCTTGATTCCTCAGTCTAAAATTTGGGGTATAGATTCTACTGGAGTTAGGGACTGGTCTGTTAGGGTGGTCCGAAGACATGCTCCCATAGTTCCCAGAGGTGCTGGACTCTGGTTGAGAAGAATGGAGGAGTAGATGCTACCCCACATTACTAAGTTCTGTTTTCAAGGTTGGGACTGGTAGGATCCCACCTCGTAGAAGCAGGAGGAGACCAACATACGTAAGCATCATCGCTGTTCTGAATCGTGTGGTGTCTCTGGAGGGTCCGGGGCCTGTGGTGCTCATTGACTGAGGGGCGTGCTGGGTACCCAAGTCCATTGTGATCTGGCAGCCCCATTGCTTGTCCTGGAGAACTTCTATCCATGCAGTTCCCTATGACAGACTCTGAGGAGACAGAGCAAAATAGGGTCAGCAGACCTAGAGTTTCTCCCCACACTGTCAACTCCCATCAAAGAAATGTCTTGCAAGGGACGATAAGCAAGGGTGAAGACCACATGTGCACTATCTGCTAATCCTCAGCTGGCTGGTGATGGCGCTTAGAGGAGCCTGGAGCAGATGGCCAACCCTAAGTCCTCCAGTGAATATGAGCCTCTTTATGAAGGCATCATACCCTTAAGAGAAAAATCCCACAGATCGGAGGTTGGCTGGATCACAGTGAACCTTTCCTTTTTTCTTCATTTCTCTGTTGACTTGACAGTGCTATGTTCCCAAACCTAGACGCACATAAAAATCACTCTTGGAGCTTTCAGGAACCTCTAGCCTAGGAGGCCTCCATTCTGTGGATGCTTTTTCTCTCCTTCCTTGGCTTCCATCTCAGTGTACCATCCTGCTCCTCTCCTCTACTTCTCAAACTACTGCTCCCAACTCCTTTCATGGCTCCTCCACTCTTTACAAGCAAGCATCCTTTACATTTCTATCCTTGATCTACTCTCTCTTCCCACACTTTGGCAATATCATGTATTTTCATGGCTTCAACTATATTGCCTCTATGTAAGGAATTACTGAAATGCTCTTTTAAGCTCCAGATCCATAATTCCAACTATTTACTACATATCTTTCCCTGGATAGCTAACCAACATCTAACACTTAACATGTCCAATTCCAAACTCATCGACTTCCCTCACAAACAGCACCTTTCAGACATCCTTGTTTGGGTGTCTATTTTCCTAATCTTCTGGGTGTGAGTTCGTAGGGTCCCTGTTGATTCCTTACTTCTGGTTCCACATCACCTTAAGTTTAAAGAATCTACCTCCGCAATACTGGTCACTTCAGTCCCTTTCATTCCAATCTCACTGCTTCCACTGAAGCCCTATTACCTCTTGCCTGGATTACTACAATAGCCTCCTAACCATCCTTCCACCACTACCCTACAAAGATTAATCTTTCTATAGGGAGCCCAAACACTTCATTTTCACAGCAGGGCCCCAGCCTACCTTCCAATGAGTACCTCACACTACTCTCCCCTATATTTTAAGCTCTAGTCAAATGGGACCACTTAGCTCTTCCTACCCATTCACAAGTCTGTGCATTTGCTCTCACTGTTCCCTCTCCCGAAATGCTTGATTCTTCTACTTCCATTCCTGCCAATCCAAATCAACTCATCCTTCTAGGTCCACCTCAAAGGTTTTCATCTTTATGAAATTTCCCTTTCAAATAGAAATAAATCTTTTCTTTGTTTTGTTTGTTTGTTTGTTTTTGTTTTGTTTTGTTTTTTGTGAGGAGGACCAGCCCTGAGCTAACATCTGATGCCAATCCTCCCCTTTTTTCCTTGAGGAAGATGGGCCCTGAGCTAACAACCGTGGCCATCTTCCTCTATCTTTTCTTTCTTTAAATGTCAGAAGACTTTACTGGACTCTGATTACTCTAACATTATTCCTGGTACAATGTTCAATTGTGTACTTCTCTTAATCATTCATATTAGACTGTAAGTTCTTTGAGGACAAGAATTGTATCTTACACATGTCTGTGAGCCTTCAGTGTTCCAGAACATTGCCCTATACTCAGTATTTAATAATTATCTCTTTAACTGAAATTAATAAATGCTCTCTTAATACTGGTTACTAAGTATAATATTGGTCAGAGTCATGCAACCCTATGGACTGGATTTTGGAGAGAAATAGGAGTTCAAGAGGAGTGAATATTTCTTCCTGACCAAGGATGGTCAAGAATAACACACCTAGGTTGACAGGATCCTCCTGGTAGCACTTTTGGCTCCAGTCCTTAACAGCCTGGGATGTGAACATATGTTTTGTTTGCTTGGTTGGTTTTTTTGAGTTAAAGCTCCTGGCAACTACTGGGCTTATCTCCTGATGAACTGGACCTTGGCAAAACCAGGTTTTAAAAACGATTTTAATAGGAAACACAACCCTAATGCTAATTAGCCCATTCCAACATCTATTTGAATAATGAAAGCAAAATGTACTGCTTGAGTATTGGGTAAAGGGTTTCAGGTCTCTATATTCAAATGGTCTCCTATAACAATCAAGGTTAGGCCTGGGCTTAGGGGCTGAGGTAGGAAGGGAAGGGAGGGGAATTAACTGACATGCATGTTGTTGGGAATGCAAACATTCTGGAGAAAAAGGAGAGGGGGAAAGTTTCCCAACTACCAAAGATAAAGGTAAGTGAGAAATTCTTTGAAAGTTCTCTGAGCAAAGAGGCCAAAGGACCAGCCAGAAGGCAACTCTTTTGCTACTGAAAGCTAAAAGCCAGCAGAGAGAAGACAAAAAAGTCTACACCAAGACTTGCTTTGTGGGACTATGTCGCCCATTCTACCTACCTAGCCCAATTCCTCTCAGTGGGCACTGCTCACGTGCTGGCCCCAGGGCCAAACAAAAACCACTGGCAGGAAGTGATGCAACACTGGCTCTGTGGAGCAAGGAACTGGCTCTCTGGTCTGCTTTCCCAAGAAGCAACACAAGTAGCTGCTTTTTACTTTCTCAAAGTATTTTCTAATGCCTATATGCTCTTCTTTGATAGCTAACACCATCTACTCAATTCTTTTTTTCTGGATAATAATGCTGGATGCAAATCTCATCAGTTGCACCCCCTTGCTCCCCATAAAGACAAACATGACACCTCTCCTGTTTAAAGATTTTTTTGTGTGTGTGTGAGGAAGATCAGCCCTGAGCTAACATCCGTGCTAATCCTCCTCTTTTTGCTGAGGAAGACCGGCTCTGAGCTAACATCTATTGCCAATTCTCCTCCAAAGCCTCCATTTTTTCCCCCAAAGCCCCAGTAGATAGATAGTTGTATGTCATAGTTGCACATCCTTCTAGTTGCTGTATGTGGGACGCAGCCTCAGCATGGCTGGACAAGCAGTGTGTTGGTGCGCGCCCGGGATCCGAATCCGGGCCACCAGTAGCAGAGCGTGCACACTTAACCACTAAGCCATGGGGCCGGCCCTGTTTAAAGATTTTTAAAGGATCATTATCAAACATGAGGAAGGGGCAAAGCTAACAAAATGTATACATACAGTCCTGGTTCTTGATATTTAGCTCCTTCCCACTTCTTCTAGAGGGCTCAATGTGTGTGTTTGTTTGATATGTCTGCTGTCTCCTTTCTCTCTCTCTTTTTTTGAATTTATTTTTATTCCTGAGAATGGGGCTTCTCCAAATCCAAACACCCACCCCTCTTGTGGGCCTGCCTTTGGGAAGGTCACATGGATCCTGTCCTCCTTTGTCAGCTCTCTTCCTAGCCTTCAGGCCTGGTGCCAACACACCTGAAAGTGCCAGCAAGACAGAGCAAGCTACTGCTTCACAAATCATTTGGTGACCCTTCCTGACTCCGCAGCCAGAGCTCATGAGCACAAGCTCCGGGGTCACGAAGACCTGGGCATGGATCCCAGCTTCCCCAGGATTCCTGCTGAGTGAGATCTTGGGCAAGTTACCTGACTTCACTGGGTCTCAGTCTCTTTATCTGTAAGACAGGACTTCCTCCACACGTATGTAAAGTACTGACTAGAACTTGGTACACTGTAAGAGTTAGTCAAGACTGATACCCATCTCAGCGATGTTATTTCTTTTTTTTTTTTTTTAAAGATTTTATTTATTTATTTTTTTCCCTCCAAAGCCCCAGTAGATAGTTGTATGTCATAGTTGCACATCCTTCTAGTTGCTGTATGTGGGACGCGGCCTCAGCATGGCCGGAGAAGCGGTGCGTCGGTGCGCGCCCGGGATCCGAACCCAGGCCGCCAGCAGCGGAGCGCGCGCACTTAACCGCTAAGCCACGGGGCCGGCCCGGCGATGTTATTTCTGAGTGGATAAGGACATACTGAGCCAGCTGACAAAAACAAACAAAGAAACTGATTTTTATCATAGAACCCTACTTCCAGAATTATGGGGACAATTTACCCATGTGTTAGTGAACAAATGAGTTACTGAAACTTTAATTTCCAGAGAAGAAGTCTCTGGTTTAGGAGAGACCAATGCAAGTTAAGAACTAGATGAAAAAGAAGCTTATTAATATGAGTTGGGTAATAAACCAGGGTTCTGTCTGCTCAAGTTTCAATGTAATCCATAGGTCAAAGATCTGGAAGGGCTAGCACCTTCTGTTTGGCAGATATACTTGGAAGGTGTAGAATGGGAGACAAGGAGGCATAAAGGAAAGAATATAAGACTAGGGAATCAGAAAACTTGAAGTCAGGATCCAGCCCCATCACCAACAGGGTGTCTGAACTTGGGTAAGTCATTTAATCTCTCCTAACCTTAGCTTCCCTATCTGAAAAATGAGGGTTGTCTGGGGCTCAAAAGACAACACATGTGAAAGCGTCTTTCCAAAATTGTCAAAGACTACGCAAGTATTTTCAGTAAGAATCTTGACTCCTGAGTTGAGAAGTCTTTTGTGACACTCTATAGATGAGACCCACTGACAAGGTTAGGGGGGTATGAGTAGACTAACCCACCGACCAAGGGACATGAAAATTAGGCTCAAATCTTTGGCATCTTTTACGCCAATTCAGCAGCCACAGGAATTGTCAAGCTCACCAAAGGATATATAAATAATGGGGGAAGAAGACTGCTGAGAGGAGTGTTCTTGGGTATTTACCAAAGCAGAGCCGGGAGCATACTGAAGGGAGGATGATCCTCTGACAACAACAAGAAAAAATTCACAAATGGACACAATGCACACCACCCACCTGGCCAGGGAACTCTGGGGCAGCTTGCACAACTCGCTATTGAATCTATCAATGTTGACTTGTCCTTACTCATTTACTGGGTTTCAAGAGAAAATGAGAGAAACGAGATGCGTGTATATACCTCTTCAAGATCCTGAGGAAGGAAGGTAGACCTACCTGGAGGGTAGACCCTCCCAGTGTGTCATCATTTCACCCCTCTATGAGGCCTGAGGTCCTCTAATATTGCTGCAGCTGACCAGGCTCGGAGAAGAGGACGCGGTTTTCTGTGTGAGTTCAAGTTGGTAATCTCACCGTGTAAACTGGTTATGCTGTTGTACTTATTTATTTGCCAAGTGAAAAAAATCAAGTGTGTGTAATACTATAGAAGGAAGATAAACCTTATTTCTACTTCTAGAGTAGCAGATAGGGAGATTATAGGCAGGTGGGGCATGGATAGCCCTTTAACTTCCACACATTTGAAAGAAACCTTTGGCATGCTGCCTGCTCAGTGCTCTGGCAGTGCCTGGCCCCACTGATTGGTGGCAAACAGCCATAAAGGAAATAGGTAATCATGGACACTGATATGACGGCACTTAATCTTCCTTGACTAATGCCAGTGATCCCTGTTCATCTACCTTTACAAAATTTTAGACAGATCACAGTAGCTCTACTCTCTATAATTATACCTCTTACAGCACTCATTACATAGCATTCATGTTTATGAGCTTGTCTTCCTTTCCCCCAGTGGAGTGTAAGGTCTCTGAGGGCAGGTTCTTTATCTTTTCATCCCCGCATTCCCCACAGCACCGACAACAGAGTCTTGTGCAACCTAGTCATTCAATAAATTTTGTTGACTTTGCTCTATCATGGAAATAACAGATGAAGTGTTTTGGGACTAGTGTGAAACTACACAGAGATGGAGGTTATCATTAAAGGAAACTGCAGGCATTCCTCCCCATCCAAAGAGATAAACAAGGGTGAGCTTCCCCTGTTGGCCTGCAAAGGGGGGTTGTTGGGGAGTATAGCATTATAACCCTCTCTTGGCAAAAGTGATAGCAAACTATCCAATGATTCCTCGGTATTGTAAAACCGTGAGCTCTCAAGATTTTAAAAGAATAGAATCATGTCAGGTTAAAGCAGGAAGAGATTGTGGAGCCTTGGTATCTACTGTAAAAGGGATTATAGCATATATGTCCCAAGGTGGCTGTGAGAAATAAATGAGTAACTAAGTCGAAAGCACCAAGCATGCAGCAAACATACTAAAGACATGAGTTCCTTTCTCCTCCTCTTAGGGGGCACTTAGCCCAGATATCTCATTACACAGATGAAGAAAGGGAGGGCAGATCATAGACCAGGCCCATGGTCACAGAGCAAGCTCAGTCACTGAAGGTAAGGACAACAGGGACGCCTCAGGATAAGACATTGTTTTAAGCACGATGTACATCCCCAAAGGGATTTTAACTCGTTAGTTAAAATCGGGGAAGCAGTATCGGGCTTCCCCAGGCCATTGATTTCTCTATTGCATTATTTTACTATACTGGATTCTAAATTCACATAGTTATAAACTTGAGGCTTTATTCTTTAAAGATAATTATATATGTGGTCTCAAAAGTCACAAAATAGGAGTAGATGTCAGAAAGAGGTAAGGTGAATAGTATTCAAGCAACAAAAAAGCATATTCTGTAGCTAAATTAAAGAGTACATTTAGAGTAAACTGGGTAGAAAGAAGGAAAAATAATCTCTACAACACATTAGCAAGAAAGGCAGGAGCTAAGAGTACAGCTTCTAGAAAAGCTCATGTCAAAGGTCAGGAAAAAAAGATTCAAGAAAAAAGAGGACTTTGGGGGAAGACACTGGCAAAAATTATAACGAGGCAACAAGGACAGGGTAGTTTTGAGCTGAAATCTGTAGGATATACTTATGACCCGATTATTCCAGAAACCAGAAGAGATTCTGTAGAGGATAATGGCGGTGATGGTGGTGGATGTAAGAAGGCTGGGAGAAGGAAGAGAGAGAGAAGTAATGACAGTAACTCAGCTAGGGGAAGAAGCAGGAGAGATTTGTCAAAAGAATCATAACCATGAAGTTTCGGCCTGAAGTAAAGGCCTGAGACTGACAAAAAGGGGTATGACACAGACTGACTGACAGGTCCGTGTACTGATAACTGCTAGGAAAACTGAGCAGTGAGCCACGATTCTTGCGGCACATTGCAGCTGGATCTAGACCAAACTCAGGATTCAGAAAACCACTGCCCCTAACTTTTACTAATTCCTTCATGTACACTGCACTCAAACCAACCAAGCCTGCTTGCCTTCTCACCAAAATATCCCTGAGACATTCGCACCCACTGGTCTTTCCTCAGGCTTCTCCCCTAAATCCAAATGGCAAAATTCTCTTCATCCACCAAGACCCAACTCAAATGCCACTTACTGCTGAAACCTACCCTATTCCTCTGACTGAGAACTAATCTCTGCCTCCTCTGTGCTCCCACAGGACTTGTACCAACCACATTCTGCCTTACTTTAGGTACTAAATAGACCCCAAGTCTGCCGAAAGGAAGGTTCCTCTGACAATTATGGGACACAGGCGAATTTGGGCCCTCCAGGCTTTCTGTACATGGGTGTCTCACAGGAGGGAAAAGTAAAGAGAAATCAGAAGAATTTTTGAAGAAAACTATTTCAAAAAGTGTTTTAATACACAGCAATCCAGGGTAGGGGGAGCAAGGAGTGTACACAATTTGCTCCAGCCTTGCTCTCTCCTCAGGGACTTGCACACCCAGGACACACTCAGTAAGCATCTGCTGGAGTGAAATGAATAACTCTGGGCTTCCGCTGCCACTTACTAGCTGTTAACCTTGGGGGCAAATTACTTCACCTGTGCCTCAGTTGTCTCATTGGTAAAATAGGAATAACAAGAGTTACTACCTTACGTGGTTGTTGTGAGGATTAAATGAATTTATACGTGAATAGTATTTGGTGTTTGGCACATGGAAAGCACTAGAGAAATGTTCGCTATACGCCTTTTTACGCCAACTATAGTATGCTAATCTGGTGAAAGCTTTCATTCACACAGGAAGCTTTTCCACAGCATCCCTGATACCACCAACCTGCCTCTGCTAGACTACTCTCAGCCACAGGAAGCTCTCAGGCTCCTGAAGCAGTCTATTCTAGAAAGTTCTTATACAGGTCTTCCACAGGACTTGAAATTTCCTGCAACTTCTATCCTGATCTTGGTTCTGCTCCATAATATGAACCCAGAAGGGTCTAATCCTTTCTTCTATCTAACACGTATGGTGGTTTCCTTAGTTTTTTCCCCCCAAGCCTAAACATCCCCAGGTCTGTCAGCCATTCCACATATGGTCTGGTTCTGAAACCTCCCATCAACCCATGTCCACCTAAAAATACAGCAGCCACAAGTGGACACAATACGTCTGACTGGTACAGACCTCCAAAATGGACGGCACCCATCTGTTCAAAAGCCTAGGATTTAACTGGCGTTTTATGCAATCACACATCCCTCCCTATCAGTGCTTAATGAGGACACCTGAAGGCATCAAGTCTTCTTCACATAAACTGATTTAGAGCAAGGTCTTCTATCCTGCACTGTGCTATAGGACCTAATTCCCCTACGAGTTGAGTTTTGTGTGCTGACTTTAAAGAACAGGGCAGGAGATGCAGGTAGCTCCAAGAAGGGAAGAATGGAAGAAATGTTCAGTTTCAGAGTTGTATATTTTATAGATAAACTCATTTTTCAAGATCTATGATGATGGGTTCGACATCAATCCAGATTTTGTCTAGGATGAATGCTATGATTTCTGAGTATAACTTACTGATGGTAATCCTAATCTCCTTCAGAATGAAAATGAATGTACTCATTAATTATAAAGTTATTCAAAATGAAATGACATGAGGCCCCTTATGATGCTGTAATATTCTGTATTTATCTTATTAATCAAATGATCAGAGTAATAATAATACTTCATATTATTTATATCATACATTCGGATTATCAAATGCTTCTCTCTGTCACACACACACACACACACACACACACACAAACATCATGTATAAACCAAAACACATATATGCATGTTTTAATCTTCATAAATACTCTGCAAAGGACCATTATTCCTCCTGTGCCTTTTTAGCAGATGAGGAAAATAAGACCCCGAGGTCTAAGTGACAAGGTTATCGCATTCATGATAGAGGCAAGTCCAGAACTGAGGTGTTTGACTCTTCATCCAACACTTTTCACACTAAATCACATTTTCTTAGCACTGGCTGACTTTTTTCTATTGCAGAAGTTAAAGTCAGCTATTTTGATGACAGTCAAGAAATTCTGGATTCTAAGAAACCATGAATATGGGAAATAGGCAATATATCTTACTGACTGTACTAAGTGTTAATTTTCTATCACTATCTTTTAATTTTGAAAACAGACCCCTTACCCACCAACACCCACTTCCTACACGCTTCTCCCCAAAATGATCCTGAAGGTCTTCTCAGGAATTCCTTTTCCCTTAGGAACACAAGAGTACCAGCTGAAAAAAGATAACATTACTGAGTTAATTGAATTAGGGCAGCTTGGCCAAGGACTTTTACTTTGAAGGGACTCTTACCTCGGCTGGACACCTTATTTCTACTGAAAGCAGCAGTTGGCTGATGTCGGTACAGATGTATGCCCAATTCCTGTATATGACTCACAGTTCCTAGTAAAGATTCAGGGTCCCCAGGTCCGCCAGTACTCAAGAGCAGGGGACTGTCATGGCAACCTTTGGTCAATGTATTTGAACTCTTCCTGTCTGGAAAGCCATCCTTGGCCCCCTCACACGAGCACTCCTCTTCCATGCTCTCTGAATGCATGAGTGTCGGCTGGTGAGCATAACCATGGGTCGGGGTGGGTGAGGAAACCTGGGAGATACATTCTTGCGCCCTGATTTGTAGAAGATGCTGGGGGCTGGTATGGTGGTGGTGGTACGAGTCAGCATTTTGATATGGTAAAGCCTGGCGCTCTGTCATACTCTGTCCCCCAAGATTGGCAGTCAGACTCCCAGCATCCCCCTGGTTCATATGCCTGAATAATTCTTGGTACTCTTGCTGCTGCTGCTGCTGCTGTCGCTGCTGCTGCTGCCTTTTGATGAGCTGTGCAAACTCTGCTGGGGGCAGCCGAATGTCCGAATGGCCAGTGAGCGAATGTCGGGGAGACAGCAGTCCTTGAAGGATGTGGGGTACCTGCTGGTGTCTTGTGTAATCCGGCGGTGTGGGGGACAGCAGGGCCTGCTGTAGTGCCGACGTGGTATAGTGCGGTGGCTGCTGATGTGCACTGGGAGGGAAGGTGGGGAATTGGTCATGTGGAGGGACTTTCAGGGCTTGGGTTGGAGGGAACCCCACTCCTGTTGAAGGGCTGTAGCTGCTGGGGGAACCCCGGGACTGGTCCGAAAACAGATGGGGGTGTAAATGCGCCTGGTCGTAGTTAGCAGGGGAGAACCGATTCACGTTCAAGCTGCAGACACAAAAGGGAGTGAGTACCAGGTATCCACGTTAACAAGTCCGCTAGACTCCCCTAGGGAATAGCTACTACTCTTCCTCAGTAGGGAGCCCCCAGTGGAACAGAGAACTGTGGCGCGACAGGGAAGATGGGGGTGTATGTACCAACCCTACTCATCCCCACACTCACTTATCCAGTAACTTCCAAGAGACCTAGGGCACTGTATTTAACAGATCCAGCTCTAGCTTGAAGGTAGCAACTTGGCCTATTTTACAACATCACTTGAGCTATTAACAGGGACCAATCTCTTAGAATAAGAGTGACAGAGAGGGAAAGAATCCTATAAGAACAGACAAGGGAAACTGGCACTTTTATTCTCTAATAGGCTGTTTTCCTCTTTGCAGACAAATAGGAAGGTAGCTTTTGTCATTTTCCTCCTCTGTCTCAGCATTTTGATCCTGGGTCAATAAATAGGCTTCAAGTTCATCCCAAACCCACCACCCTGATTTTAGAAAAGGTGAAATGAGCACAGCCCAGTCAGACTCATTCTTCTTCCCTCCTCCTCTCTCGCCCTGCTAAGGGGCCTCCTCTCACCTGGAGTGCCTGAATAAATGGCTGGGTGACTTTAGGCAGCCTTACCTGTGGGCTTCTGCACTGTCAGCACTCAGCTGCTTGGACAAGGGTCGGTGCCCGTAGCTGAAGGTGGCCATCAGGTTGGTACGGTGCTGCATCTGAATCTGACTGGCACTGGGGCTGATGGAGATGCCCCGCCCAGCAGAGCCTGCAGCTGTCCCAGGCATGTTGCTGAGCATGTCAACGGGCTCCTGTACTTGGATGGTCACCTGCTGTGACTGGGTAGACTGCTGTAGGCCCAAGCAGGTTAGTGCCACATTGGGAGGAGGGGAACAGTTCTCAGGCTGCTGCTGGAAGACTGCACTGCGGGAGGGTAAGCCTTGAAACTGGGAGGGAGACGCAGCACCTGGAGAGAAAGGAACCTCAGAGTGACCGAATGCCCAGGTTACCTGCCAGTTGGAAGTAATGGGAGCCAATGAGGATATTCAAACTGGATACCAACTAGAGCAGTGCTTCTCGAACTTTGGTGTGCATAAGGCTCAACTGGAGGACTTGTTAAAATACAGATTCTGGGCCCTACCTACAGAATTCTGATTTAGTAGGTGAAGGTGGGGCCCCAAAAAGTTGTATTTCCAATAAGTTGCCCTGAAAGCTGGTCCATGGATTATGCTTTGAGTAGCTCTGATCTACGGCAGTGCTTCTCAAACTCTAATGTGCATACAAATGGCCCGGGTATCTTGCTAAAATGCAGATTCTGATTCAGCAGGTCTGGGATGAAACCTGAGATTCTATTTTTCCTGACGATGTTGTTGGTCAGGGAACCCCACTCTGAGTAGGAAGGGCTAAGCGACCAATTCAGACTCTTCAGGAGATCTAGACTGTGTGGTGTTACTTAAGAGATTACCAGTTTTTTGGAATACTAAACCCTCAGAGTGCTGGTCTCTGAAGACCCATACCAATTAGAGTATATTCATCTTCACCTCCATCTAAACACCCACAAGACGAATGGATAAAGAAGCTGTGGTATATATACACAATGGAATACTACTCAGCCATAAGAAACGATGAAATCCAGCCATTTGTGACATCATGGATGGACATTGAGGGTATAATGCAGAGTGAAATAAGTCAGAGGGAGAAGGTCAAATACCGCATGATTTCCTTCATTAAGTAGTAGATAATAACAACAATAAACAAACACATAGGGACAGAGATTGGATTGGTGGTTACCAGAGGGGAAGGGGGGGAGGGAGGAGGGTGAAAGGGATAATTCGGTACATGTGTGTGGTGATGGGTTGTAATTAGTATTTTGGTGGTGAACATGATGTAATCCATGCAGAAATAGAAGTACAATGATGTACACCTGAAATTTTTACAATGTTATAAACCAATGTTACTGCAATAAACAAAAAATTAAAAAAATAAATAAATAAATAAACACCCACAAAAGAGGATTCACAAGGACAATGGATAACCAATCGGAGGCATGACAATAAGGAAGGTTCTGGTAGTAGCTTTTTATTTGGTAGAATTGGAGGGGGTTTTATGAAAAATGTCAATAATGGTTAACCTTTATTGAGAACCATTTTTTGCCAGAGACTATTCCAAGTGTTTAACATATATTTATCAATTAAATACTATTCTTATCCCTATTTTACATTTGAGAAAGCTGAGGTACACAGAAGCTAAGTAACTTACCTGAAATTTCACAGCTAAGGAGTTGGTAGAAACAGGATTCACATCAAGGCAGTCCGGCTCTAGAGCCGACACCTTTAAATACTGTTATTCTGCCATTCAAATCAACCACTTGTGGCACTCAAGACTAAGATTCATTTTTTCCATATTCATTTCATGACATTCCATGTTCAGTCTAAGCCCCTCCACTCACCGTGAGACTGGATCATGGCACTGTTCATGGGGGGAGGACTATTACTGGGTTGTCTGAAGAGATGGTTGTTGGGGTGGTTGGGGGGTGGACTTGAAGGCTGAATCCTTAACCTTAAAAAACAACAAAACCAGATAAATAATTTTCTTGAGGTGACAATATAACCTTGAAGTTAGTTTCAGCCATACGATACACACAAGCAGAAACTACTTTTTTAGTTTTGATAAGCCTCCAGGCTAGAAAAAAATACAAAAAGCACCCACCACAGCCTACTTAAAACCTCTCCACATCTTATTTTACCAGAAAGACAAAGAGACAGGTCATTGTGGGCCTGTGTCTGAGCTCCTGTATTAAACGTCAGATTACTTTGTTCATGGGGCTAAGAAAATGAAGCGGCACAGGAAGTCAGGATTTTAGGAAGGTTGCTGAAATTTAGATTGGTTTCTCTGCTTTTCAAATAGGTTCTTCCAAGACAAATGCTAAAGTCAGTCAGTATCTCCCATATGAGTCAGGCCAAGGACACCAAGCTCTAGAGACAATGGCTTAGGCATGAAACAAAATGATTCATTACCTCTGGAGTTGGTGGGTGAGGAGGGCTGGCTGATTTTCACATGCAGCCTGAAGAGGTGGAGAAGGCTGAGGGGGGCAGATAGAATCCTAAAACATATGGGGGAAAGGAGAAAAATAATTGTGAGCTGGAAGATTAATCAGGGCTATTCTCAGGAAGAGAAGAAACAGAAAGAACTATCTGTGACTGAGATTCATGCTTTTGTTGTGCATCAAAAGGTGTGATGACCTTTACTCAAACATGTCCACCATAAGCATAACTCAACTCCACTTTGCCCTGCGTGATCTCCTCCAAAATTTACAGGCAAATCAGCCTGAGAGCAAACTCCAAACAAGTTGGAGAAAGCAAAGAGGGAAGGCCTACTTGAATTTGTTGCTGGAGAATTTGATGGTGCTGCTCCTGCTGGTACAACATATGCTGCTGCTGGGTCTTCTCCAGGGTTCTTTCATCAATCTGCCCCCCGTACATCTTCTGCAGCTGCTCACACTCCTGAAGGGAAAGCAGTTCATACAGATGGGATGTAGCCAGGCCCACCCCATACAGCGATGTCAGCAGATGCAGATCTGCACCAAGGTCTCATGGGCAGAAAGAGCCACAAGAGAAGAACAGTGTCCTTGATGAGCAACTAACCTATTTATATAGTATTTGTATACTAAATACATTCAAACTCTGTTCTGAATGAACGAATGGAAAACACCAAAGAGGCTTGTGTACAAGTGTCTGATGTGAAATCTGTGTACAAAAGAGCACGTGCCACTCGAAGTTTGGTCACCAGGAAGGCAGAGAGGAAACTGGCCCTTTATAGAAGCCTGGAGGTACACTTCCTTCCTCTGGGAGCACCATTCCACACCAACTGGAGTATATGCCAGGTGGTAACCATGCAGAGCAGGCTCCAACAAGACCCATAAATCATGAGAGGAATACCAGGGTTGCTTAGAAGTACCTTCCCTGGTGCTTCCCACTGAAAGCCAAGCCCAGAAATTCCTCTCCAATGAACTACAGAGACAGGAGGAAAATTTAGTCCCTTCATGGGGTAAGCAAATTTGATTCTGGGGAAAGCTGTACATAACAAGAAGTCAGGAAAGTGCATTGGAAAGCTACATGGTTTTGAACCTATAAAACTGCAGTGCTGCTGACATGAGGGGGTAGAAAGTTTAACACCCCAGTCCTCCTGCAATACTGGTCTCTGTTACCCACGCTTCTCCAGAGATGCCTGCCATCTCTTCCATTACCTGCTGCAACTGTTTGATGCTGCTGTTGTTGCCCATTTTTTCCAGGTGAGCTTTGAAGGCCTGGATGCTTGCAGCCCCATCTGAGAACCGGCGCACAGGGGAGAAACGCTCCGTAGGGAGGTGCAGGGTGTTGGAGTCCTTGTAGGTAGAGCTGAATACATGGGAAGAGAAGGTTAGGGGCTTGGACTCAAGGTTTTTGACCAAATCACCTAGGGACTGCTGTTCCAGGTGAACAAAGGTGGCTGGCTGCACGTGTGGCCCTGCGTACTATGCCATTTCCGAGCCACCTCCAGAGGCCAGTCGTTTCCCTAGCCTGCTTCCCTTTAGAGGGCTCCAGGTGCACATCTTCCATTGCCACTTACCTTTAGTTGGCTTAATTTCCAAGCCTGGTGAGGTCCTGGGATCAAACACATCCAGTTCTTACAAATACACTAGGTCAGCGAGAAGAACTTCTCAATATCTCCCAGGCCAAGCTGTACCGGAACTCTTGCTTTTATAATCATGTCTCTATCTAGTGCCTTTAGAAACCTAAAATTCACTGTTTGACCCAAAGTTTTGCCTGAGCAGCAATCTCCATATGGCCAGAGGGAAACCAGTCAGTTTTGTGGTCAAAGGTCTGGCTTGGAACTCAGAGGTTCTGTGCTAGAAAATGGAGGGTGGAGGTTAAAGTGAGGGAGAATGGATATTTCTGATCCTGAGATGGAGACAGCACGTTCTTAAGGAATGTGGGCCTCAAGATCCTGCAAGTACCTGGTCAATGTGAATAAGGTTACCTAGTAGGAAAATTAACTTCTCAGAGCAGCAGCCCTCCCAACCTCCTAATGAAAGCGTCATGTGATCACCTTCAAAACCCCCACAGTGAAGTCAGAACTTAGCCAGTATCTTACAAAAAGAAAGAACAAGCTATTGATAAAAAATGCCTAAGCATCAGCGTTAGAAGCTAACACCTGTACTTGTTACCTAACCAGAAAGAGATGTGTATGGGTTGAGGTAAGCAGATAAAAGACTGCCAAGGCAGCATTCCAGCAGCTGATGGAAAGGATCAGGGTTTCATGTTCAGGGCAGAGATGACATCACACTGAACTATGGGTGAAATGCCAGTTACTCATTCTGGACTGAAGCAGAACCAAGGCTAAGGAAGCGGGTTAACAAGCAAGTTCAAATACAATGCAGATAGAAAGGGACTAGAAGGGTCTGATGACTGTGCAGAGGGGTCAAAAGAGTGCTGGCAGTAGGTAAAAGCCCTCTGCCCTCTTTTTTCTAACAATGACTTCTGTTTCAGACTCTACCTGAAGCTTGACACAGCAGTGAGCTAATGAAATGAGCACGAACGTATATTTGCTTCAGTAACACAAAAGACAAATGATTTCGGCAGACACACTCCAGAAACAGTGATCATGAAAGCTGCTTTCAGGAGCATTTCCTCAATCCTTCTTAGTTCTGTTTCTACTTCAGGTGTTTGGAGTTAAACCAAGCAAATACTATTTTCTCCTAAAATTTGATTCTTACTCTTTCAATATTTTCTGATAACAGACACATTTCTGATTCACTCAGAAAGCTGTGTTCTTCGAGTAGTTAATACAGTCACTGCACAAAACCCATTCTCTTCCATCAGAGCAATATTCCCAGGTTCAGGTATTTCACGACTTTTCCAGAAGCTCAGGTTGTGAAGAGACTGATACCCATGTCAGTCCAGCACAGTAACTTCAGAGGAACAGTTCTGATGTAGTTGCTCATTTTGGAAGCACTGACAGTATCAGTTGTGTTTTATTTTTATTGGCAATCATGTTCAAACTCAAGACAGCCGCACGTTAGGCTGATATTCCCACTACACTCTTCAAACAGGGACTTGGCTCCCCACCTAGATCAAATCCATCTTGTGTTAGTTTTTTAAAAATTACGCTTTAAAAATTTAATTTTAAATTACACACTTCCACAACTGAAAAGGTTGATCAGATCTCTCTTCTGTCTCCATGTTGGACTTCTTCTATTATACCCCAGAAGAAGATACATGTGCTGTTCTTGAGTCATTTCCTCCAGAAAATGAAAAGAAATCAATAATCTATCCAGGCCACCCATTTTCTGTTTTACGGCCTTGGAAGGTTTCTCTTTCCCTCTGCAGACTACCTTTAGTCTCTTGTGTTGCCCTATTTTTATGGTAACCCCATCAAGACATGCTGAGTTTGCATAAATGCCTCACCTTACACAATCTGCCACTCATAAAGCATTCATTCCAATTCAAACTGGCTTGACCACAGGAAACCCTTGAAACACTCTACCAAGAGTGTTCACACGCAAACAGACAGCAGACAGATTTCCAGCCTTGACAATGACTGTAGGCAGGGTGGAAACCACACAAACGGAGCTCTGGGCCAATATGGCATTCCTTTAGAAACAAATGTAAACAGGATATAGGATCTGTGATAAAGGCTGACTGTGGAGATGGGCCGACCTTCATATTTCCCTGATAAGAATACCTCCTGAGGAACACAGAATTATACAAGGATACCCAAAGGACTTAAACGAAACAAGAGACCCTGACAAAGGGCTGAAAAATTAAGTCTCAGGCTGTGGAGGAGGGGAAGATAGAAACAAGGAGAAACAAAGTAATAAAGCATCTATTAGGTAATAGTGTAGAGCTCAGAGTATTGAGAAATCACAGAAAATTTATGGAGTGGAAAAGGCAGCTCTCCAATAATCACTCAAAGTACCCTCTGATGTAGTACTCTAACAATGTAGGTCCTGAAAGATTTTCCTTAGAAAAATTCTGTCTTCCTGTGCCACCAGAGTTTTATTTGAGAATCATCATTCCTGCTACTCCTAAGAGACTTTTTTACTAAGTTACTCATGGTTGTTTATAAAAGCTTATCTTCCTTCTTTCAGAGTTCCAACGTGGCACTAATTATGTCTCAGTCTGCTCAGAGTTCACCTGTCTCTGCTAATTACATCAATGCCCAATGGCTAACTGGCCACAACAAAAACATCGTGTCAAGCTTGCCAGTGTGAGCTGGTTGCAAGATTTAAAAACAACACATTTATAAACTTAATTTCCTTAGAATCTGACTGCTTTTCAACCTTCCCAAGTAAGACTGATTTTCATTGTCCTCCCACAAAGATTGAAATAAAATAAGCTCTAGCAATTGGTGGTGGCTTTGAAAGTGTGGCCCATGAGCTTGGGGACAGCTTCAGAATAGACACAGCTAAGCTTTTCAGTCATCAAGGTATTCACAGAAGATAATCATCTTCTTCATCTAGCAAAGTGTCATTCCCTTCTGCTTCCAGGCTTACTTGGATTCAATTTTGTGAAGTTTTCTTGGCCAGGAAGGTTAAACTTGTTATTTCTTCAAGAGAATGAATTATAAATGTAGCAAAGATCTAGCAAAAGATTTTGCCATCAGAATATTGCAAGAATGACTTCTCAAGCACAACATTCAAGAGGATGCAATATCTCTGTTCTACCATTCAGAAAGGGATGTTTCTTCCTCAATATCCAAGCTCATTGTTCAGTGGTAATACGATAAGAAATTCTCATTCTTTTGAAGGCGATGGGTTATTAAAGGTCAAGTCTATTGGTATAGCTACAAATCCTCCTATTTCTAGTTGGCCTTCTGAGAGCTTCACCTCCTTCCAGTTTTCAAGTTCAATTTCACCTATGAGTTAACATCTAGAATCATGAGAATAAACTGCAGACAATAAACATGTCTACCAGGTAATGCCAAAGAAGAACCTCATATTGCCCTGTGCACTGCTTAGTGCAAGGAGCTGAGAAGATGTAAGTTCAGGATGCTATTTAAAGCCTCGATGCTGGCCACCATCACTGTAAGACTAGTCAGAAGGGTGTCTGTCCGGTGAGCCTCAAGGAGCTCACATAGCTCATGTGGCTACTCACCGATGCTGATCAGGTACCAGGTGAGGGGGCCAGACCCGGGAACGGAAAGGCTGCTGTCCTAGCTGCCGTTGTAGGTCCGGTGGGATCTCAGCTGTAGGGTTGGTCATGGCCAGTGTATGTCTTTTGGACCTATTTGCCAAGTACCTGCAACAAGCAGGAGCACATTTCATAGTAAAAAAGACAGACAGGAATATTCCTCAGCAAGAAGCATTAGAAGTTAATCCAAAGCACTCAGAATGAAATACTGCCAGAGCTCAAAAAGGGCTCGAGGGCAAACAGATCCCTAACTAGATGAAAGTGAAACATGTCCAACTGGCCAACAAAAGTTGGCTAATCATTGAAGTGGCTGAAGTTTGGACCTAAGAGTGGCCATTGAAAAGAAGAGAGAAAGCAGATGTAGCTCACAAAGAGGATCAATTTTCCTTACTTCACTCCATTTGACAGAAGAATTTATTTTCTACTTATTAATTTTATTCCTCTTTTCCCTCCAAATTTCCAAAAATATAAGTCAGAGGAAATGAGCCCTAAGGATTATTCCTAGAGATGAGCCAAAGGAGATATTCAGAAGGGTTCCACATATGTCTCTTGATCCCACTGGCCTCCAGGTTTTGAGACTGTCCCCAGTACAAGTCACAGAAAACAGATCCTTCCATTCAGGGATAGTGAGTTCCAAAACCACCCCTTCCCTCATGCCTCACGATTTTAACTTAATCATCAGAGAAGAAAAACTGATGTTGTTCCCAGGGAACCAACATTCTCTAGAGGATGAAGAAATGAAACCACATGAAATGTTGAGAATTGTTTTTAGGAGGAAAAAAGGCAAGGCAAGAAAATAGAAGTTTCAAAAGCTGAAGAGTTGACAAGCTGATGGCTTTTATTCTGAAGATCTTTCAGATCCACTACTTAGTCAATACCATTAATAAGGTATCGGTCCCCCTTCGTCTGGCTGATGATTTCCTCCACCACTGCTGCTCTTCTGGGGTATGCATAAAAGAAGCATTATTCCTTTTCACTACATCAAAACTGATGGGAATTTCACCCTTTAAATGTTGGTCTAAAGAAGAAAGAAGCTGGAGCTGGAGGAAGTAAAGTCCAAGATAAAGAAGATAAAATGAATATTGCTAATAAGGTAATTATGGTAGGAAGACAGTAAGTTTCCTAATTTCTCTCTCCTTCATGATACCAGCAGGGCCCATTTACAATTTTATATACCTTTTTATCAACAAACTATAGAAACAACGGCATCAAGAGAATAAAGAGTTACTATAATTTTTCTTCTATTGGCTAAGCTGTAGAAGGAGCTGGCCCACCTGCCAACACCCGTTCTCCACTGGCCTTTCCAATGGGCCCAGCTTCTTTTTGAACAGCAGCTCTCACACAGAGCTACTGGGGGAGGAAGACAGTACTGGCCAGCAACCATCAGGTTCTTAAAAAGTGGTCTTATTTCATTCTTAACTACTTTGCCCACTTAAGCTAAAAACAGTTAACAGACTGTAGAGTAATTAGTGGTATGTAAACTTGCCAAAGAGTAAGCCATTAGTGGTTTAATATCCATTTGATAAAGACACCCAAAGTTACCCCAAGAGCCCAGGAAAACCATTTTATTTCAACTTCCCTCAAGGAAAAAACATATAATCTTGAAGAACACCTGTATTTCTGGGAAAATACATGCTGGATTCTGGTCAAACCCCCCTCCCCGGAAAATAAGAAAGACAACTCCCACAAGGAGGCATGCATGGAGCTGAGGACCATGGTTAATAGAACTGAGGTAAAACGGACAGTACAGCATGCCTGATGGTCACTGCTGTTTTCTGTGAATTAGGCATCTCTCAACAGGTTTCTGCAAACAATGGATATTTGCATCTGTCCCTGGCCCGAATTCCATATTCTTTTTTCAATATCTCTTTGTTGGTACAAGGGGATGGAAGAAGCACACAGCAAACAGTACAAGAGGTATTCATTCTCCTGGAAAGGAAGAGTCCATGCCAGAGGTCCATGGCCAGACTAGCCAGGATCACTGTCATCCCAAATCTCCAATTCCTTTTCAGTAAACAGTTCTTGGCAGGTAGGAGCAGGCTTTGTGCCTTGTGAATACTATCAGAGTTGCAATATGAAGGCAGGGGGCAAGGAAGGAAGGAGGGAGGAGAGAAAAAGTTCTTATGGTTATTGCTGTCACTTAGGGGACTTCCAATGGCGCTTACAGAAATGAAATTTTCTGGGTAGTCTTCTGTTACTTCCATGTGGGGAGGAACATGCCATCTGGCTTGAGCAAAGAGACCACACAAATGTTGAAGCTGCACTGTACCACCTCCTTGGGCAGAGGTGATTTTTCGTTGGTTGCAGGGGGAGCCTGCCCAAGGACGTTCTGCAAGCACTGCCAGATGCCACATTACCTCTGCACAGCTTCCTGATCTGGCTCCCCATCCGAGCTCTCCTCGTCCACAGGGGTAACTGCTGGCACTGCCTGAAGAGAGACAGGAAGGAAAGACTCAAGGTACTGCTTCTTCTGTAATATCTCTTATTCTAGAAACTGGACTTGGGGCAGGCCTTTCTGTTAATTTTCTTACTTACAAAACTTTTCTAGGACCCCTGGGTTATTGAGAGCTATCATATATCTTTCTACTTTTCCATTTTTACCCTGCTCAGGTGATTTTAACTTGGATTTCTTCCGCTGCTTCATCTTCATTCATTCATTTATTCATTCAACAAACAGCTGAATACCTACTATGCTCCAGGATAAAAATGGGAATTAACAAACACAGTTCCTGCCCTCATTTTACAGTCTAGTAGAAAATAGAGACAAGTAAACAGACAATTACAAAATAGCAAGTCCTCTAATGGGTCGCTTGGGAATTGAGGAAGGCATCCTGGAGGAGGTGACACCTAACCTGAGACCTGCAGGATGAATAGGAGCTAGCCAAGCAAAGAGGGAAAGAGGTGCCAAGCTCTGAGGTTTCTAGGCTGAGAGAAAAGAGACGGCTTGCAGGTGTTTGAGGACCTGAAAATATAACAGAAGCTTGTTTACCTGGAATGTCTAGGAACTGACCTGTTGTTTCATATTAATATTATTTTCAGAGTTTAAATGTCTTTAACTCCAGAAAAGCAAAACAGTTCTTTCTTTCTTTCTTTCTTTTTCTTTTGCTGAGGAAGATTAGCCCTGAGCTAACATCTGTGCCAATCTTCCTCTATTTTGTATGTGGTCACCGCCACAGCATAGCTTGACGAGTGGTGTAGGTCTAAGCCCAGGATCTGAACCTATGAACCCAGGCTGCTGAAGTGGAGTGCACGGAACTTTAACCATTCAGCCACAGGGCTGGCCCCCAAAATGGTTTTTTAAAAGTACATTTTAGTACATAACATATAATTGTGTAATTGCAATTCAATGCTTTAAAAGAGTCGTTACCCACCAAAACATATAAGTGAAATAAGACCACCACAATGCATGCATTACTGTGACTCTTGCCATCTGCATACGGACTGGAATGCTGTGCGTCCTTGATAGCTACTCAAAGCCTGGTGGCTCATATTATCAGCATGTCTCAGGCACTAGAGCAAAAAATCATACTTGAATTATTATAAAAGAGCATTTTTTTAATGGACGATAATTATAAAACAAAAACAAAAAAAACTTTTGGAATAATTCCATTGTTTGAATGCTTCTAGGGTTTCCAGATCCCTTACTACAGTTCTACAAGGCTGGAGTGAACAGGGTTAGGCAGGAAGTGGCTGTAGATGAGGCAGGAGAAAAATACTGTGGCCAATTATAAATGGCCTTGAATACCACATTAAGAAGTTTATTTTGAGGAAGGGCAGTGGTGAATCACTAAAGGATTTTTAGCAGGGATGTGAGTTATAAGATTTATATTTTAGAAAGCTAGCTTGCTTTAGTCGCAGTGTGAAAAGGGCTGGTGACAGGCATTAGGAGACAGGACTGGAAGCAAGGAAGCCAGTTAGCAGGCCATTGTATTCATCTAGGCAAAGGATGACAGTGGCTTGAGCTAAGGAAAGGGCAGCGGAGACGGACAGAAGGAAGATATTTACTTCACAGGCAATGGATAACTGATTTGATGTGGAAATAGGGAGAGAAAAGAGTTAATACTCCTAGCTTGTGTACCAGGACAATGACAGTACCATTCACTGTTACCCAAGAGGAGAAACAGGTTTCACAGAGTCAGGATAAATTCATTCTGGGACATGTTGAATCAAAACTGCGAGTACTTTTAGGATAACCAACTAAATTTGTGCAGTAGGCAGTCGTACATACAGAAGTATAGAACTCAAAGAGCATTCTGGGCTGCGGAATCACCTGGTAACTGAAATTATGGGAATGGACAAGATCATCCAGAAAGAGTATGTAAAATGAGATAGAAATAGGGCCTAAGATAAAACTCCAGGTTTCACCAACTTCAAGGAACAGGCAGAAAGGGAACCTGAAAAGGAAAGACAGGAGGACAACAAGGAGAATGTAGTATCACAGAAGCCAAAAGAAGACAGTATTTCAAGGAGAAAAACAGTCAACAGTGACTAATACAGTTGGGAGGTCCAAAAAGATAAAGATTAAAAATGTCCACTGGATTTATCAACAAGAGCTTGTTGGTGACCTTGGCAAAAGCAGTTACAGTGCACAGAGTAAGTCACTCCACCTCCCATAACGCTGTTCCTGATCTTTCACAACCTGCATTGATCCTGCCCATGTGTGAATGCCTCTGCCACCTACTAGTCCATGGTATTCACTCTGGCACTTAATCACATATGGTCTTTTACTATTACTCCAATACTTCACATACATTGATCTTGTCTTCCCATATTATAAACTCAGTGAGGCCAAGAACTATGGCTATAATTCTTTCCTTTTCCCGACAGCAGTGTTACTAAAAGTGTGGCCCATGGACCTGTGCCAGTCCACAAATTGTTTTGTTACCAATTCATGATAAGGTAAGTACAGAAATAGAGAGTAAGCTTTTAGAAACTTTTATAGCGATTTAACAGAGAAATTTTGTCTGTTGAATTGAATAAAATATTTAGCCATGTGTTTTGTATGTTTTAAAATTTTCATTTCTCTAATAATTAACTTTTATTGTATTTTACAAAAGTATTAATTGATGATAGATTGAAAGGGAAAAAAGGGTCCTCAACTAGAGATACGTTGAGAAGCACTGCCCTAAAACACCTGGTAATGGCTATGGATATCATTAGTACCCAATCTTATGGTACTATGAGATTGAATGAATAAATGAATGCATGAATGAATGAATTTACCTATGACAGGAAAATAACCAGAAATAAACAGAACCCAGGGGAGGAAAAGAATCTTTGAATGTGACTGTCATATAAAAAAGATGGGATTGAGAGAGACCAACTGACTAGGTTAGAGCTTGTGAAACCCAAATAACCAAGTGATCCAGGTTATACCAAAAATGTGAGGTAGTGTTAATCAAAGAAGTAAGGGTTGGTGAGAAGGCAATTTCGGAAACCAGTCTAAAAAGCAATTAATTCCAGAGACAGCTGTTAGATTCCACTGCCCTCTGGCAGGGAAACGTTATCTGTGAGAAGGCTATGAGTTAGGCAACTGCCACCCTGCCTCAAAGCTGGCAGGACTACAGTTGTACTTAACTAGGGGGTCTATGAGGGGCCCACTGAGAATGAGGCTCTCTCCAGGAGCAGGCTTCAGTGTAGAAATGATTTGGTTAAGTAAAGAAGTCAGCTAAAAATTAAGACCAGAAAATTCTACAAGCCTGAAGAAAATGGGACTACACTAAGCATCATAAGTTTGAAGAAAGAGGAAAATTCAGACGTTTAGGTTGCAGACTCTGGGTTTCCAACCATAGGCCCACAACCTCTTGATCAAAAGCCTCTGAAAAAGTAAGTTGGGATCTGTGCTGCTACTCACTGGTGTCATGGTGACAAGTGGGGAGGGTCCCCGTGGGCGCTTCAGCAGCTGCTGGGCATGTAGTTGGATGTTGGCTCCTCCATCTGATGCCCTCCGGCCAAGGGGGCCCATTCCATTCAGCAGCTGTAGGGTGGGCGGCTGTAACAGGGACTGCTCCTGTCAGGAGTAGGGCAGGAAGGACAGATTGGTGGGGTGGGGGGAAAAGGAGGAGAGAAAACAGCAGTTCTCTAATCTACCAAAATTAAGGGATCCTCTGATCCTGATATAGACTAGTGAAATCTTCCCTCTCACCTGAGCTGCAATGCAAGAGAAATCACTCTGCTCTATCAGAACACCCTTAAATCCTGGGGCAGGTCCCTCAAAGGAAGCTCAAATGCATTTCTTCTGGGGCAAGCCCTCTCCCGTATCCAGGTACCTTGTACTCAAGCTGCCCAGTCGGTTGCAAATTTTGCATGGGCAACAGGTTGTGCATGAAGTTCATGTTAGGGGCCACCTGCAGGAATGGAGCCTGCGGGTTGACTCCAGGAAAGCCAGGTAGGAGCTTCTGCAGATCTTCCATAACTTCCGTGCTAAAAGGAAACAGGATGACAGAGAAGTTTGGTTAATAATCTTACTCAAAAGTGCTTAATTCCCAAAACTGATGAAACTGATAAGTTCAGTACAATTTACTTTATTTTTTTACTTTCCTCCTAAATGTGTATTTCTCTCCAAGATCCCAAAGCAAGTGGAAGCCGAGTGTGTGGAATTTGGCTTTCTGCTATTTTACTATTTGGGACTGGGGATCGCTGTTCTTCATTGACCACTCATTTAAAACCAACAGCTCTGAGCCAAGAGGAAACACTGGCTCCAGTCCTGTTCAGGTTTTCAAAGCCTGGAGGTGAACAGCAAGTTTTGGAGGACACAAGCCATCCACTAAAACAATGGTTGCCCGAAGTAGCAACTGATTCTCCAGGGAAAGAATGCAATTACTTCTGTCGGTGCTGATAGGACAGATAAGGAGTGGACGTGCAGGGCTGTCCTGCTCCAACAGTAGGGTTTATAGCATACTTTAAAATAAGAGATCTTTCCACTAACAGAGCAACACAGGACTCCACCCCTTTGCAGCTGACACGAGCCAGAATGTTCCCCTATTGCCTGTTTGATTGTGGGCCGAGAATGAGAAACAGAAAGCCAGCAAATCAGCAGGCCCAGGAGGCTTTTTTGGAAATCTCTCAGAGAAAAGAGGTATTTATAAGAAAACCGGCTTTGCCCTTAGTTGACTTTCAAGAGAACTCTTGCCGCAACCTTCTCTTCCGTATTCAGTGAAAGAAATATCCGGAAAAGCGCTAAGGCTATTTTTAATGTCAAGAGTCTTCAGGGGCCGGCCCCATGACTTAGTGGTTAAATGCGCGCGCTCCGCTACTGGCGGCCCGGGTTCGGATCCCGGGCGCGCACCGACACACCGCTTCTCCAGCCATGCTGAGGCCGCGTCCCACAGACAGCAACTAGAAGGATGTGCAACTATGATGTACAACTATCTACTGGGGCTTTGGGGAAAAAAAAAAAAGGAGGATTGGCAATAGATGTTACATCAGAGCTGGTCTTCCTCAGCAAAAAGAGGAGGATTAGCACGGATGTTAGCTCAGGGCTGATCTTCTTCACAAAAAAAAAACAGTCTTCAAATGTAGAACAAAAACGGAGAGAGCCGGCCTTCAGGACATTTCTCCAGTGTGAGAGCATCAGGGAACATACTGAAGGACTGTTTTGGGGAAACACTTTGGGAAACTGGTACTTATTCGGTGTGTTTTCGGATTCTTGTTCACTTAATTTTTAAAGATTTTATTTATTTTATTTTTTCCCCCCAAAGCCCCAGTAGATAGTTGTATGTCATAGCTGCACATCCTTCTAGTTGCTGTATGTGGGACTCGGCCTCAGGATGGACGGAGAAGTGGTGCCTCGATGCGCACCCGGGATCCGAACCCGGGCCACCAGCATTGCAGCGCGCGCACTTAACCACCAAGCCACAGGGCCGGCCCATAATTTTTAACATATATAAATTACATTATATAATTTGTCCTCACTTTCTAGATGAATTTTGCATTAGAACATACGCCAAACAACATCTTTAAAAGCTGTCAAATGCAGATAAACTTTAAGGGGTACTTTTATGTAACTTAGATCAGAAGACCTCAGTCTTTGTGGGCAAAGATGCTACCATGCTCTTCGCCCAAGTATTGTGATTAATTGGCTGATGGTGGCTATCAGCCCACCATCCATTAGGGAAAGCTCTGTAATTCTTAAATCAAGTCTGATCTACCAGGGACCCTGAACTGGGTTAAAAACATGTCTTGGCCGCTGGATTAGATCTCATCTAGGGGATACAATGAAGTAGGAAAAATTGCCATGGAATGAACTCAAAGTCAGGTGGGAGTTCTTCGCCCTGGTGTTATCAGGGCTGTTGGCCAGATACTCACCGTGGGTCAGCCACACCCACTGTGTGCCTCCTCATTGACAAATATCGGACCAACGCTTCAGGGGAAGGCTCTTCACCCTCATCACTGTCCAAGTTCACTGTTCCATCCGGCTGAGGTGGAGGGAAACACAATCCAATTACAAACAAGAAGTAAGGAAAGGAAGCAAGGATACGGGAAAGAAAGTGGTTTCAGCTGACAACTATCAGAGGTTGCTACTTGCCTCCACAATTTGGTTCTCTGGGTTGATCAGCTGCACCTGGGGAACACTGATGTTCATAGTGGTACCAGCCTGCTCCGCCTGGAAAGTAGTACATACGTATATACACACACCTTAAAAAACTAGATGGAAATAACGATAGTCTTTCAAACTATTCTTGATCACTAAAGTCTATGTTACTCCTTCTGACTCTGGTTCCTCTGCCCTCAGAAGCTACAAGGAAGCATTCTTTAGAGAGGACAGTTTCTTTCAATGATTTGCTGTTTCTTAAAAAAAAAAAAAAAAGCAACTATAGTCATCCATTCCGAATACAGAAATACCCTTCCACCCTCTCTGTCAAAGAAAGGTTCAGATCTTTGCTTGACCTCTGACAAAGGAAGAGATAACAGATGGGAGGGGACAGAAGTAAGGAAGAACAGGAAACTCTCTTGACTTAGCGTTAGTGAGCAATGGCTAACAATTCCCACCCACCCCCAGCCCCCGGTATCACTGTCCTGAATCAGGTCACGAGAGTTATCGCCCACCTGGATATTGACTGGTGTTTGAAAGGCCATGGTTCGGGGCATGCTAGGAGGTGCTCCGACACGCAGGGTTTTATGTCTCTTATGTCGATCACACAGCAGGCTATAGATTGCACTATAGTGATCATAGGCATCTGATCTTAATGACTACCAAGAGAGAAAACAGTAAAAAACCCTGGTGAAATGGTATGTCAATGACAAAACCCTTTCAATAGTAACATTAGAAGACCAAAGCACCTTCTTTCCAAAGCCCAGAGAGGGGCAGAGGAAGAAGAACAGGAGGAAAACAGAAAGATCCAAGTTCTCAGGAAGGAGAAAAAATGGAGAAAGCAAGACAGAGGGAGTATGGCTACACCTCACTTTGTTCTTGACTCCTTGAGAGATACCTGTAGTGTCCGCTCTTTGTCCAGTCCCATGTCCTCCATGGCTAAGAGGACATCCTCATTCAGGGGGTCCATCTGTCTTTCTTCCTTTAGTTGTTGGCATTCAGCTATTAACTGTAACATAAAAAAGGCAAGCTATCAAACCCCCAATTAACCATGTCTACATGGCATATCATATATAATGAACAAGCTGGTTCATGCCCCCTAGCTTGGGATCTTTTTGGCCTCAGATAAAGCCTAAGCAAGACAGTCCTGGGTACTCAGCTATCAGCAGACAAGATCCCCATTTTCCCTGAGCTCCTTGGGGGTACCTGGGATGGCCATAACAACTTTTTTTTTTTTTTAATTTTATTTATTTATTTATTTATTCCCCCAAAGCCCCAGTAGGTAGTTGTACGTCACAGCTACACATCCTTCTAGTTGCTGTATGTGGGACGTGGCCTCAGCATGGCCGGAGAAGCGTTGCCTCGGTGCGCGGCCGGGATCCGAACCTGGGCCACCAGCAGCGGAGCGCGCGTACTTAACTGCTAAGCCACGGGGCCGGCCCGGCCCGGCCATAACAGTTTAAATAAAGGTGTGCTACAGGAGCCACTGAACTGAGCACACTAAGACAAGAGGAAGGAGACTTCCCCATGGTGGGTGAGCTGCAGAACTGTGGGCTGTACTTTCTCAAAAGCCAAGAAGGCACTATGATTTGTGGCCAAGTGGTAGGAAACTGGTATCCCTATACTTCAACAACTCAGCTGGCTTAAAATTCCTTCTTTCTCGCTTCACCGGCTGCTTTAGTATCACACAACAGTTTGTTCCCGGTGCCCGCCTTTTCAGGTTCTGGCCCGATTACGATCTCGCGCAAAAGAGATTGCAGTAGCTCTGAGAGGAGTTCCCTGAGGCAAGTGGTGCCCAGCTCACCCTGTCAAAGTTGGGATCGGTGTCCCCTAGCTTCATCCACTTGTGCTTGCAGATCTGCTCCATTGAGAGGCGCTTATTCGGGTCTAACACCAGCATGTGGCGGATCAAGTGCTCACATTCTGCAACAGACAAAGAGCCTGCCTTCAGTCTCCATGAGGGAGGAACCAATGAGGGTGAGGAACTGGAGGCAAAGCGAGCAGGTAGATTTTCAAGATCTTTGCTTCTAATTTGTCTCTCTTGTTCCTTGATTCTTACCCGTATCATTGCTTACTCCAGAAAGGACTGGGCAAAGGCAGAAAGAGGTGGAGAAAAGAGAAATTCAAATCTGGTAGTTGGGTTAATACCTTCATTAAAAGTCTGACCAGAAAAGGTCTAGGGATAAGCCAAGGATTTCATTTATTTATATTCTGTATGGCCCCATTTAACACAATTAATGAAAACCTGAACGTCCTTTGAAGAGATTCGGTATCTTACAAGGTCCTCAAAATATTCAGTTCTATCCTCCTATATGTATTACTATGTGCATACTAACACTTTTGGCTTAAGTGTCCAAAAGCTCTCTTCAAAAGTAGAATTTAGGGGCCGGCCTGGTGGCATAGTGGTTAAGTTGGCATACTCTGCTTTGGTGGCCTGGGGCTCACGGGTTCAGATCCTGGGCATGGGCCTATGCACCACTTATCAAAGCCATGCTGTGGTGGCATCCCATAGAAAGCAGAGGAAGATGGGCACGGATGTTAGCCCAGGGCCAATCTTCCTTAGCAAAAAAGAGGAGGATTGGCAACAGATGTTAGCTCAGGGCTAATCTTCCTCAAAAAAAAAAAGTCAGAATTTAAATTTCTGATGGTCCAAGGTGTGGGGGAGAGAGGCACAGGGACAGGATGCCTCCCTACCACACACTGGGACTCTGCTAGCCTTATTTATCATTTTCTCAAAGTTGTTCAAACATTCACAGGTACATACAACTGGGCTCCGAGCTACAGAGATTCAGATCAATAGATATTTTTCTCTGGGAGCTCATACTATGTATTATATTGCATAAAGAACAATGAATTCACAATCAAGAAACCTATATTCTGATTTCGAAACCACCCTCTATTTCTAAGTTTTCTCATCTGTAAATTGGGGTATTGAGGATAATGTGAGAGTAGCACTTATGATGCAGGTGGTGATGACGACAGTAACAGCAGTATTAATAGACACTCTTTAGAGCACTTTACAATTATCATTCTCTCACTTACCCCTCCCAGCAATCCTAGGAGCAAGGTACAATCATCAGTGCCATTTTAGAGATGGTAAAAATTGGGCACAGAGAAGTCAAGAAACTTGTCCAAGGTCACATGGTCTGTCTTCAAACCAGACAGTCTGACTCTTCGGCTGGTGCTTTTAACCACATGCTCTACTGCCTCTGTACTGCACAGAGCTGTGGGCAGGATCCAAACTCCTCAACCATTAATTCAATATCCTCATCCAAGCCACCACCAACTCTTGCTTAGATTACTACAAAAGTCACCTCACTGGTCTTTCTGCTACCACTCTTGCTCCTTTACAGTTTACTCTGCATAGAGAAGCAAAGGGGATATTTCCAAAATGTAAATCTGAGCATATCACTACTTTGCCTACAACTTTCCAATCTCTTCCTATAACCCACAGAATAAAGTCCAAAGTCCTGGGCCTACAGGCCGGTGCCTCCATCTCTGACCTCACCTCCTGCCACAGTCCCTTTGGCTCCCTGAGCTCCAGCCGCACTGGCATTCTTTCTAGCCTGTGCACCTGCTGAATACGCTCCCACCAATGGCCTTTACGCTTGCTGTTCCTTTAGCTGGAACGGCTGCTCCTCAGACCTTCATGTGGCTGGCATCTTGTTATTTGGGAAAGAGCTTAAATGCCACTTCTTCAGAAAGCTCTTTCCTGTAAATCAGTCTAAAGTAGGCCTCCAGTCACTCTCTATTTATATCACACTAATTTTCTTCACATTAATGACTTCTTTGTGAAATCTTGTTTATTTACTTGTTTATTGTCTAACTCCTCCACCACAACGTAAGGTCCATGTCTTTCTTACCGCTGTTTTCAGTACCAAACCTCCAAAACCAAAGATGGTTATTACACCTAATAGGAGCTGAATAAATAGCTACTGAATATGTGAATAAATATTTATTGAAACTCTAATCAAATGAAATTTTATTTGTGAAAATGCTTTTTGAACCTATAAAATTCGCTATAAGATACAGGTTTTAAGGTAGTCTGTTTCTATTTCATTACAGCTGTCCTGAGAATAAAACTGGCTAGTGATAATAACAATAACAATAAATTACTGCTAATTTTAAAAGACCTTTTATATATAAGGCACTGTGCTTACCAACTTCATTTCATTTAATCTTCAAAACAACCCTAAATTAGATACTATTATTAGCCCCATTTATAAAAGAAGAAGAAAGCTAATGTACTCAACACTGCACAGTAATGGCAGAGCTGGGACTTGAGAACTATCCTCTTGATGACCCTTTATACATCTTCACGTGGCTGTAAACTCTGATCTATTTTTCCAGAGTGAATTCAACTCTACAACCCCACAATTTCTGCACTGTTTGGAAAACACCATTCTATATCACCATCTTGAAAGGAATATTAAGAGTACTTAAGACAAATTAGTCTTAATTTTTAATTTATTCTAACTTCCAGAGAAAATACAACAAAGTCCCTATATCAAAATGATTTTATAGTAGGCATCAATGTGTTCTTGCTTTATGATTAAAAGTATATTCAAATGCAGTGTGGATCCTAAAGCCTGTAGTTCCCACATCTCTATAAAATAGAGTAAATGCCATCTACAACATTAAGCTTTTAGTAAAATTATGTTCCCAAGGCTAGACCCCACAACTGTAGCATCTGTATGGATTATAAATACTGACACACACCTTTATGGTCGGAACTTACTTGAGAGGAAAAAAATTTTCTTAATCTAGAAAGTTACTAAAACTGAAGACCCCGGTGCAGGGAGAAAGCCTGGGCCTGACTGGAAAGTTGTGAAATTGTTTAGACCTCTAGATGGCACTCTTCTGTTTTCTTTTGGCTTCCATAAAGCATTTAGTGCATAAAAGGTAACCACATTAGTCCTGAATCAGATGACCAAGGTAGAATGATGTTTGGTTACAGGCTTGCTTCACAACAGAATTTTCAAGGCATTTTCCTTAAAAACAAACAAAAAAATCAGCACCACCATAATACGTCCTGATTAAAAGATGTATTTAGTTCAATTTCAGGATCTTGAAACCTCTATTCAGTCATCCTTAACCATTATTTGGTTTCAGATGCCTTGAAAAATCTCCAGAAAAATGTGAACAAGAATTTATACACAAAAATGTGCACATAATTTTAGTCTGTTCAGTGAGCCCCCAAAGCACGTCACAGACTGGCAGGCTAAGAATCCACAGGTCCCAGGTTGAGAACTGGTTGCAGCGGCAACAACTAAAGGACACGAGCTTTCAGCGCGTGTCTCCCATGACATCCAGCACGCGGAGGAACAGACAGCCAACACTTCTCATGTGTTGCACAGATGGTAAAACACGACAAAATGCAGAAAGCCAGAGTATTATCATCAACTACACTTCCTAAGTGTCATATAGCTCATGAAATTAAATTCAAACTAGGTCAGAATGCACTATTCTACATGAAATATGGAAAGACAGTGAAAACAAAGGGAATAAACGCTCTCAAACCTAATAACACAATCAACCACAGGACAGTCAATTAAAACAAGTGGAAAGAAGATGGGGCCTCAGATCAAAGGGTACAAAACATCAACTTTTCCAGATGCCAAGAAGTACTCTATTTTAATGTCTAAAATGGCCCCATCTCTTCTTCCTTCCCAAAAGGCAGACAGAGCTTTTGATACTGAATGAAACTGAAGCACTTGGGGCAATGCAGGGATCTGCTGCTCTGCTGTGTGTGCCAGAGGAGCTGCCTCCCTTCAGAGGCTGCTTTCATCTGCTCCGCGCAAGACGCGAAGCGGCCTCTGAAGGGAAAATCACTGTGGGCCACGAAACTTGATATGCCAACAGAATGCTAACTAGGGGATGCGCAGCTAGGCCCTGCCCTGCAGCGCTGACAGGCATTTGGATGACTGTGGAGAGAGAGCTGCTGTATGAGCAAGGGTCCTAAAATGGGAATTCAGTTGAGACTGCCAGTCTAATTCTATCTAAGAAGGCCAGGTCTTTAACTTCTTTCTTCTTTTTTGACCTTCATAATAAACTGCCTTCTCTAAGAGGTTAAAAGTATTCAGCCTGAGGGGGAAAAAATAAAGAATGGGGAAGGGGAATGAAAAATCAACTTCAAAGTCAATAAAGATATTTAATAGAAGCTCTGTCTCCAGTTTCCAGGCTAGAAGAAGAAACAGAATAATGTAAGAAAGGATTTTCTGACTAAAACTTTGAAAACATGCCACCTGCAGACAGGTTAAAGGCAATGAAGCTGACCTATCTTGGAGAAGAGAAGGTGTAGGCAGGAAAGCTATGCTGGGTGTTCTTCAAATACGTGAAGAGTTTTTATAAAGAAGACAAAGTAAATTTATACTGTGCTGCTCCAGGGGCCTCAAATTGGAGTAATTAGGAAGTAACAAGTTGTATTTAGGAAAAATCTTTCTAATTATTAGAGTTGTTCCAGATTACTGGATCAGGGTCCTATGGATCTGAGGAGGGGCCCCTTAGGGAAGTAAGAGGCCGCAGTCAAGTGGGCAGGGCCATACCCGGAGCACAGTTAATTTTATCCATTTTATAGATTAGTGTTCTGGGTAAGATTTCACTTGAAGAGTTAAGTCCAGAGATAAGTGGATGAGATGAACTCTGGGTCCCCTCCAACTCTAAAAACCGTGTAACTGTGAAAAGGCAATGATTTGTCCTGTGAAATAGTGTGCTCATTGTCACTGGGAATCTTTAATCAGAGGCTGGCATTTGAGATGTCTCTCGAAGGGCTCCCAGCATTAGGTGTGAGGAAGACTGAGAGTCCTTTAAGGATGGAGATTGTGTCTCACAGAGCTGTGTATCCCCAGCACCTACAATAACACCCAAAATGTAACAGTCCCTCAATGATGCCAGTTAAGAAACACTGGACTAGATGACTGCTA